AATCGTAAAACTCAACTGTTCAACTCTAGGTGACTTCTAAAATGAGCCTTTTCCAAAATAAAGTAGAGTGTTCCTTTAATATCAGAAGAACAAGTCATAATATCCTGTGTGGATGGCACATCTTTTCATTTCCACTTCCAAAAACATTGGCGGCAGAGGTGGGATTCAAAGATCGGAGGTCTGTCTGTCGACCTCCCATTTTTTTTTTATCACTTCATTTGTGGACGATTTTCTTGAACTCCTTTAATGGAGACAGACTTTTGACAGAAAGTGTCTTTTTGTCGAGTTTTGCATTGTCAGTGCCTTGTTCAGAGAAGGTACACAGACGCTTTTGCTCAAATCGGCTCCATCGCCTTTCAGTCTGCAATACCAGTCCACTCTTGTCAGATCAGAGCAATAACCTGATTCTCCTTCCTCCCAGTCGCCACCAAAGCACTGTATGATTTTTATTTTTTGTTATATTGTGTGATCATGATTTAAAACGTCTGATATTTCAGATCAAAATTTCTTTTGCCAACTTGTACTGAGGAGATTTTGAATTATTTCTGCTGTATGCCTTATTGACAATGACTTCTACATGGAATGTTCTCATTAATAAGTCTATTTAAAAGGAAGGGTGTAAACACTGAAGCTTTTTACACTGGAAGCTGGGAATGGGATGTTTTTTGTAATATTTCCGCCTTTGAGAAGCTCTGAGAGGGAAAGAGAAAACATAGCAGATGGTATAATGTGGTACTTCTATTTATAAGATTGTGTGGGCACCTTTTATAGCACTTTCTTTTGGCAAATTCCTTGGTTTGTTTGTCTGTCAATCACTGATGAGATGAATGCAATACTTTTTACTGTACTTGTGAGATGTTATTGTCTCATGGCAATATCATTCAAGAGGGTTACGCTTTTTTAAAAAAAAACTTTGCCCTGTTCTGTTGTATTATATGTACATTTTTATTTATCTCACGATTGTCATTGTTAAATATAAACTGTGTTCTTAAAGGAAAGCGTGGTGTGATTTAATTGTGTGGAAGATAACGAAAAATCTGCAGATGATGAATCACGTTTTCCTGTACAGCAGTAGGCCTGTAAGTTATAGTGCAATCATTTTGTAAAATGAATAGAGCATGAGCCATCTCATTATTTCTTACATGGACTAAGAAGGGATATAAAAGAACAGCGCGCTATTATGCAGGAATTAGTGTTAAATCTGATAAATGAGGCGAGCCTTCTGAATAATGAATAGTTTTTTTTAAAGAGCCACAGCGCCCTCTAGTGTGGGTTTGATAGCTGATTTCACCTTTCCTCATTGTCTGACTCGCAGAAACTAGACTTCCCACTCGTTTCAGGTAAACTTTGTTGGAAAACGCTAAAACAATAGCGACTTGTTCAAACCATAATGAATATGATTAACCACCAGAGGTACACTGTAGGAAAAATTAGCAGCTGAAATGATTCATTCAACGAATTAGACGACACGGTAAGACGGAAAAAAATGGAAATATTTTTTACATATTTAAAGCGCATTGAGAATTTAACTAATACAATTTAATAATGCATCGTAGAAACATCAAATAATTTTCAGCGTATCATATACACATTTCAAAAATACGTCATAGCTTGTCATAAAATACATGACGGTTTTGGTTTCTATTGTTTGACCAGACGTGTATTCCATGACTTTCAGTAACATTTTCACTGAATTATCGACGAATTGTTCTTTTAAAAAAAAACAATAATTACATTGTAATTCAGTCAGGCGTTTTATAAACCCTCCAAGTTTTCATTCAATACTAAAAACAATAATTCACTCACCTATTGTACAAGGAAAATTAAGACCTGTTAAAAAGATTTAAGACCTACCACACAATGTTTCAGTAATCCAGGACATTTTTAACATTTAGCTTTTGAGATTTATGACATTTTAAGACTTTACCCGCAGACTCTGCACTATAAAAAATAATAATAATAAAAATCGGTTATTTACCTTTTTTTTCTGGCAGCTGGGGTGTCAAAAAAACCAGTAAAATAACAGCCGTAAAAATGACAAAAATTAACCGTAAAATAACAAACATTAAATTACAGAAATTTGTCATAAAATAAAAGACATCAAATTACAGAAACTTACCGTAAAAAACAAACCTAAATTACAGAAATTTCTGTAAATTAATTTTACGACAAATTTCTGTAATTCAACGCATGTTACTTAACGACAACTTTCTGTAATTTAATGTCTGTTATTTTACGGCAAATTTCTGTTATTTAACGTGCGCTATTTTACAACAAATTTCTGTAATTTAACGTGTTATTTTATGACAAATTTCTGTAATTTAATGTCTGTTATTTTACCGCAAATGTCTGTAATTTAATGTCTGTTATTTTACCGCAAATGTCTGTAATTTAATGTCTGCTATTTTACGGCAATTTTCTGTAATTTATCGTCCGTTATTTTTAGACAAATATGTCTAATTTAACGTCTGTTATTTTAAGTTTTTTTTTTCCGGCACCCCAGCTGCTGGAAAAAAAATCCTTAAAATAACAGAATTTTTTTTTACAGTGTTTTATCATAAATCATGATTTATAAATAGTTATACATATAGAAAAATCCAATCTGTAAGTAACAGAACACACACAAAGAAACCAGCAGACTCATTTATGACGTACTTTATTAAGACCATTTTACATGATTGTGGAGTGTTTGATTAGTCCGCTGATGGCTTTGGGTTGACAAGCCGCTTCTGTTTAGAGTTCACAAGAACATAGAAATAAAGTAAAAACGCAGCTCGCACAATTGAGAAACACTCGAGTCCGTCCACCTCCCTCATACGCATCTGTGCTGGAGAAAGGTCTTCTCTCTGGAGTAAGGCAGATAAATGACCTCCAGGACACACCACAAACTACACCTGAGCGAAGCTGACCAGAGGTAGAGCCACGTCTTTCCTTCACTTCTTCCTTCTGAAAGATGAGCTGCTGAGTTCAGTAGTGTGTAACAGGAAAAATAACATTACAGAGACCCTCGCGGGAAAAAAGAGGCCTTTCTCATGACGGCAGAAAAACCAGACTGGAATGAACAAGATTTCGGAATTACGTATTGAAAGCAAAATCTGAAAATATAGAAGGAAAACTTCAGCTTCCTTTACAGTACTAAATAAAACCCACTCTGCATCAGTAAACAACATTAAAAGCTATACAAAGGCATTGTCCGTTACACAACCTGTACAATTGTATTTTTTTTTTAAACCTACGTCTTTTTAAAATTATTCTGAATAACTTAAGTCCTGCTTAAAAGTGCAAATTCTGTTTTAAAAAGATGCATTTTGGGATCGGGCTGTGATTGGGCGATGGAATGGGACATTCTGAGCAGTATTCCTGTGCAAAGATATGTTAAAAATAAAAAAATAAAAAAATTAGAGCACACAATTTTTGCTATTTTGTGGTCAAAGGCTTTTTCCGATATTTCCGGTCTCTGCATCAACATTCGTCTTGCTTTAAAACCCATCTAAGGCTTTTTAGTTGTTGATAATGCATAAAGAAAAAAGAAAAAAAACTAAAAAATTATATATATTTCAGGAAACTTGTGTGTGTTTTATATCACAATTGTGAATTAAAGTGACAAGAATGAAAGAGAATTAATCACAGTAACAGTAAAACCATTTGGAAGAAACAACTATAAGGAACTCTGGCTATTTAAGGGATAGTTCACCCAATTACAATTCTGTCATCCTCCACTTGTTCCAAACCTGTTGAACAGATATATTGAATTATTGTGGGGAAAAAACTGACTTCCATTGACTATCATAGTAGTTTTTGTCTCTAATATCAATGGCTGTTTATTCTCGAATATTCTTCACATTATTTTCTTTTGTAAAAAAAATAATAAGAATATCTTGTTTTGTGGAGATTTGGAACCATTTGAGTGTGAATCAATGGAATGGAAAATGTCATTTTTAGGTGAACTATCCCTTTAAGACGGCTTAAATTCAAATAAATGATGTCTGTTACTGAAATATGTAGCAGAAAACCTAAGAATACATCAGATTTTATAAATCCACATTCATATTGGATTAGAGGGTGTTATTATTTTAGATGTGCAGTGCTTGAAGTCAGAGTTTTTCCCCTCAGTGTTCTGTGTTTGTTTTTAATCAACAATGAAACTCAATTTAATACCACATTGTGTGGCTTTTGATGTTAATTTTTAGTCATATGCAACAAGAGAAGTGATGAAAGCCTTCAATATCATCTTTTTTACACACAAGCTTAAAGAGCTCTGAATACCACATGAAATCTACAAAATAAAATATCCACTACATGCTAAACATGCTTGAAATGGTACATTAGCATGTTTAGCGGTCAAAATCGTACACTTGATCTTGTGTCCATCTCCACCTGTAATCAGGGCTGAAGTGGAGAGATCAAGGTTTGTCAGAAATGTTATTTGTGTACAGACATTTTCCTATTCTTTTCTCCTCTTGAAAGTGTTTTATTTTCAGTTCAAGAGATGCCCTTGAACTAAATATTACATTCTAAAGCCCCACAATGTTCCACTGAATCAGTTTTTGAATCATTTTTGAATCATACTAAATCATTGAATTAGTTTTAAGTTGAGCTGCAGTAAAAAAAAATTTTTTTTGCAGTTTTCACTGCACACCGAAAATAATGTAAAATAAAATTGTTTTTAAAGTGAAACAATCTTATATGTAGTTAAAACACATGATACAGTAAAGGACATCATCTTTATAATATTAAACCTTAAGTCTTAACACGCAGGGTTCCTTTTAAAGGCACAGTTCACCCAAAAATAAAAGAAAATTCTGTCATCATTTTCTCACGTTCCAAACCTGTTTAGGTTTCTTCTGGTGAACCTGAAAGAAGATATTTTGAAGAATGTTGACATTGACTTCCATAGTATTATTTTCCTACAACGGAAATCAATTGACTTTTAAAGATTCTTCAAAATATCTTTTGCGTTCAACAGAAAAATTAAATGATGAGTACAATTTTTCATTTTTGGGTAACCAATCACCTTTTAATGCCTGAAACGGTGTTAAATGTAGTAGAATGTAAGGGAAGAGGTCACTTGTTGTCTTTCACAACGTTTCATTTTAGCCATGAAACAGCGTTATGGCATTTATATCCAGACCCCTGACCTGAAGACGAGGGTGGAGACTCGGCCAAGTCAAGGCAACTCTTTCTTGTAAACACTCAACGGGGAACTGACATGGAGCAGAACTGCAAATGAAGAGTCAGCGCAGAGGTTTATGGATGAAATGTGAGAGTAACAGTCTTGAGATCTGTGGACTAGGACTTCTGCTCTGCTCCTGCCGGGGATGGGGGTGTGCTGTCGGGCTTGATGATCTGGTATGTGATGAGGTACTCTGGGTAGGCCTGTGAAAGAAACACGAAGGTCAGAAATGAAGCATCTATCTACAGTTTTTGTGTTATGTTTACAGGTAGGGCTGCACAATATATCATTTCACCATCGATACCACAATGTGTGCATGCACAATTGTCGCATCACATATATATGAAATGTTGAGTTGACTTTGCAGTGTAATTTTTACGTTTAAATATACAAAACCATAAAGCATGCACTGTTTATTTCACTTTTATCGTTGTTTTATTGCATATATATCTATGGTCATAGTTTGTTTGTTTATTACATTTTATGCATGATTCGCTCTCCTACAGAATCATCCCAGTCAATCAAAGTTACATTTGGTAACACTTTAGGGAACAATTCTCACTCTTAACTAGTTGCTCATTAGCATGAATGTTATAGAGATATTGACTGCTTATTAGTACTTATAAAGCATGTTCTGTAAGATCTTATTCTTCAACCCTAATCCTAAGCAATACCTAAACTACCCTATTAACTATTAACAAGGAGCCCCAACCCCAAATAAGAAAAAGTTGAGAAAGTATGGAAAACTCAAATAAAAAATAGCGATTTCTAAACTTGTATTTCACTGCAGACAATACAACAAACATTTTTATAGATTTTTCCCTAAATAAACACATTTCAATTTTGGTTCTTGCAATACATGTCTAACAAAAGTTGGAACAATAAAGCATTTACCACTTTACATTGATGCCATTCCTTTTCACAATACATAAAATACATTTAGGGACTGAAGACACCAAGTGATGAGGAGTTGCAGGCGTAATTTTTTAAGCTATTCTTCCTGCCAACAAGTCTTAAGGTGGGCAACAGTACAGGATCTTCATTGTATTGATTTACACTTCAAAATGTGCCACACATTCTCTATTGCAGACAGGTCGGGACAGCAGACAGGCCAGTCAAGTAACTATATACTTTTCCTCCGCAGCCAGGACTTTGTAATGTGTGCAAAGGGTAACCAAAAATTTGTTGCAAAAAGTGTCATTCGATCATTTGATGAAATTGTATAGACACAGTATATCGCAATATATACAGTGGTCCCTCGATAAAATGCGGTTCACCTTTTGCGGCCTCACAGTTTCGCAGATTTTTTTGCCAGCATTATATGCACAAAAGCTTAATAAACCTTTTCGCAGACAGCAATGAACGTTTGCGTCTGACAACAGGTTTTGATCTTTGGTTTAATTCAATAATTCTGGTCTTATTTTCTATGAAGTTCTGAACTTGTTTAAACGAGAGAAAAGTGTGAAAATGTTAACGCCTGCCTGAGAAAAGTGTATAAAGTGTGTAGTGAGGGGTTTTACAGGCTTACGACATCTATATCAATTGTGAAAAAATAAAGCTGACTACTTTAGCTGCAGATTTTGCCTATCGCAGGTTATTTTTAGAATGTAACTCCTGCGATAAACAAGGAACCACTGTATTGCATAAAACAAAATATCGCATCTTCAGATTTTTCCAATATCATGCAGCCCTATTTACATGTATTAAACTCAGGTGAGGTGTCAGACCTGTTCTCCTCGATAGATGACGTATTCGGCATAGGCTAGTCCGTTGACACTGGGTCTGCCGATGACAGAGTGGTGCCCAGGAGGAGCGTGGGCCATCTTCATGGCACTAAATTGCAGGAAGGATTTACCCAGAGTCACCCGGCAAAACAGCATCTGCCTGCAAACAGAATAATGACATTTGCAGTAGTTAAAATGTACATTTATTGTAATCATAACATTATAAACAGTATAATTTTATGATAAAAAAAAATATATATATATATATATATAAACATTTTTGAATTATAAAATACAATTCTTTACATATATAATTTTTAAAAATTACATAATACAAACAATTTTTAACAAGATTTGTATTGGCATGATTCAACAACCTAAAAAAGCATCTGTCCACAATACAATTACATCATTTATATGATGTTGATATTTAAAAAAAATCCAGTTTAATTTATAACAAGACAAAATTTTAGAAAACATTTGACTATAAATAGCTTGATTATATTCGCAATAGAATGCAATATAAAAATCTATTACTATAAATTAACAAATCAAGTAAATATCAATAAAAATTATGACACTGTTGCAGTAGATCACTACATTTTAGTAATTATTACAATATTTTTTTTTTCATATTTTAATGAATATCGCTCAGTGGTGGGATGACAGGGTGTCAAGCAAGTTTTTACAAAGTTAAAAAGAAAACAATTTTTTGCAATAAAATAGTATTTGTTGATTTTTTTTTTTAAACATGTTTATAAATTAAGACTTTTTTTATGCAAGAAACATCTCATGGATGCATTTGGGTTCAATTTCTTAAAAAATTAGGCCAGTGGACAAAACGTTACTTGCCCTAGCAAAAAAGTTAGATTCCTAATTTTCTAGCCACATGTTTTAAATGTGCCAAAACAAGCCAATTCTATACAATAACAATAATTTATGTACAACAATCTGTCTAGGTCAATGTCCCAGATCACTATGTAGATATAAATAAAGAGCACTTGATGTTTACTTAACACTTTAGTACAACATTAGATTTCAGATACTGTTAAGGAACAACACACGTAGCGTCTGGCTCCTGAAGCTAATATGTATGTTGAGCAGAAGTGTATTTTTAGACATACAGCGCCATCAGCTGGTCATGTAGGGTAAGTGCTCCCGTTATCCCCCCATTAATAAATCACCACGTCATATATCCAGGGATCCCACTCTAAGCCAAATTCTTTTCCCAGATTTTCACTGACTGAAAAGCTTTATTTTTTTATAGCTTTTATTTGTCAAGTAGAAGTCGTATTCACTTCTATTAATTTTAAGCTAAACAAAAAGTATGTTGCTTGAAGTTGTTAAAAAATTGTGCTGTTTTAATTTATTTGATCAACAACAATCTAAATCTTAAACTTTAAATGGAGAGTAAAAATTGTAATTTGACAAAACAAATTCATGATATTCAATATATATATTTTATAACTCGTAAAAACTGTATATGAGAACTAATCTATAATCTTCTGTGTGTGTGTACCTGTGACAGATATAACAGGAGCGGTCTTTATGTGTTGGACAGCCTGTTCCTCCGCCGATGCCGTACACGTACTGGTTGCTTTTGGAAGAGTTTTCAGCAAAGTAGATGCCCGCTCCAAACATGCCACCGATGTAAGCGTGTCGTTCATCAAACCCTTTATGGATGATGGCGTTGATGAATGGTGAGCCTGCAGATCAGCAGAAGAGCAGCAGTATTTATTTATTTATTGTCAAACCAGCTTCATTTGCAGTTACAAGGCAGATATGTACACTTTTAACCCTTTATAGGGCTCACACAGAAACACTCAATGGAAAAAAAACTTTTAATTAAAGGTTATTTTTAAGTTATTACAAGACTTTTGACCCTTTACGACTTTTAAATTAAGGTCCCACCTTATAATAGGTGGTCTTAACTGGTATGTACTGAACACCAAAATTAAGCATTTGTTACGATGTACTTATTGTGTAAATACATGTTTTACTTTGTACTTATGATTGATTTAATACATCAATGTATTTAATTTCTGTTTACATCTTAATTATTTACACCTTAACCCACCCTTAAACTTTCCAATATCACCATATGACCCTAACTCTGCCCGTCTCCCACCTTAAAAGCACCAGAATGTTCTGCAATACATTGTAAACACAATAAGTACATTGTATTTATATCTTGATGCAAGTACATGGAAGTTAAGACCACTTAATATCCATGGATGATCCAGGATCGTTTCGTTCTTCAAAACTGATTTGAGAGTTCTGCTAGCTCAAACCTGGTCGGAAGCAGGTTTAATTCATATAAACAGGATTAGATCGGCTCAGTTCAAGCAAAGATAAAACAGAAAGTATGTACTGAATTCTGATATTTTCTTACAGTAGTAGTTATATACCAGGGGTGGCCAACCCTGTTCCTGGATAGCCACCTTCCTGCAGATTTCAGTTGCTACCAATATCAAACACACCTGAACCAATTAATTAGGACCTGAACACAACGTGATAACTACAGGCAGGTGTGTTTGATATGGGTTGCAACTGAAATCTGAAAGAAGGTGCAGACTGCCACCTGGTGGTGCAAAGAGATAACTTATCGATATGTACTTTTTAGATTGCTTTAGTACAATTTGTGTATGATAATAGAAATGCACAATATGTGACCTTTCAAAAGCAATAATACATTTATGCAGTCATAAACATGTTTTGACAGATATGACGGTGATTTGATGCTTCATAAAAGTTGCAGACGCCTTTACTAATGTCAAAATGCTTTTGTAAACATCCAGTTATTCTTTACACCAATTAAAAAAACGGCTCCAATAATACTACTATGGGTACTATAATAAGAAAAATCAGCTCTAACTGTAAAACTAAATGAACTGCTCTTGACACATGAAAGGGCCAATCATGCAGCCCACAACAAGGTGTAAAGTTATTGCGTGTCATATTTAACAAACCGTTTCCAATGAATTTGATGTAATTTTGCTCACATGGGTAATTGAATATTAATCAGATGATGTCATTACGCTGCTGTGCCGTCAGCCAATCATTGCATTGCTGATCATGATTTCGCAGATCGATAGATCAGTCCTTCACAACACACGCAGCAATCTCAGATCAGTTCATCCAGACATTTTAATCCGATTCACAAACTTGTTTGAAGAACTAAATTAGCCAGAGATCAGTTATCAACATTAAAAGATCCAGGATCTTCCAAATCATCTTAGATCATTTAAGTGAGCTACGAAGAACAGACCCCAGGACTAAAATGAACAATGTTTATTTTTCATGAATGCAAAATGTAATTATAATGAATGTCAATGAAGCGACCATATAAAGGGTTAAGAGCATATGTTGATGGTACCATGAAAGAGCATGCGCTCGTTGTGATGGTTGTGGTTTTCATCTGCGATCTCCTTCTGTCGATGTGTGTATCGCTCTCGCAGCTTCTTGTTCACCACCTTCTGAATCTGAACCAACAAGAAACAAACTTTGATATCCTTGCTTGCATGATTAATGAGCATTCAAACCATGAACTAACCATCATCACTTTTAATGTAAGTGAAATGAGAACACACTCACCTTCAGGATGTTGTATCTGCTGAAAACACCTCCAGCATTGCCTCCATCTCTATGCTCTCTGATCGTACTTTGCAACTGTAAAATGTTACACGGCATTTCAATAGGGTCAAATCACGTAAAATATATGTGAAATCAGACTGTAAGTTACTGTAACTGTAATTGCACAATAAAGTATTTAAATAAAAATACGATAAAATAGTAAGATTAAAGTCATTTACATGAGCGCTAATGAAATCACACCTACAAAAAAAATAAGAAAATAAGACTAAAAATAATTATTAAATGACTAAAAAAGTTATATCACACATTAAACAAATAAGATTATATTAGTTTACACACTAAAGTTCCCTAAATAATAAATAACACAAAAATAAGTGATAACTTTCACTGACACTAATAACTTAATAAAATAACTTTTAATTAACTTATAATTATTAAAAATTTATAATTATAGAAACAACAAAATTAGTTTACAACTTCTATCATACACAAAATTAAAGTGACAAAATTACAAATAAGTTCCTCACACCAAAATCTAATATCTAACCATTTTTTGTCTGTGAATGCCCACATTAATCTCATTAAAGCTTCACTAATACATACATGTCTCGCAGTTCTCGTTTGAAGTGGATCAAAAAATAATTCAAAATTTCTTATGTGAGAATGATACAACATTTTAGGACACCCTTCACAAATCTCTATTTTAAATTAATATTTTGTAAAGGAAGCTTTACAAAAAATATACTTGTGCTTATAAATTAGTCAATGCCAAAGCCAAATTTGGAACTAATCTAACATAAACAAAATTAAGACCACTGTCTTAAAATTAGTAAACCCAAACTAAATTGTTGGGAGAAAATTTCACAAAGTTTTAATAAACAAGGGAAACATAACCAAATATCATATTTAGTTGAAATTTTGTAGTTTGTAGAATGTATTATGTTTCTATTCATAAAAATGTTAGGTGATCAAACTGTTGTTTTAATGGATAGGATGGTTTAATAGAACTTGTTTATAGCCACCAAAACATAGTGGCTATATTACCTGAGAGATGAAGAAAAACATTCCTTTCCAGAAGTGGTGTGCTAATTTTTGCCAAGCACTTTACAAACTTAAATAAATGAGTAAACGAGTTAGTAAATAAATAAGTAAATAAATCTATAAAAAAAAAAAAAAAAGCTATTTACATCAGTAACTTATCTCTGAGTCGCTGGACAACAAGTTGACCATCAAGCTCATTCCTAACAGGAATTACACATCACTTTTCAATTATTTATCTTAGCACAGATGAAGGAAACCCATTTTTAATATACCCTACTGTATTTTAATCTGAATGGCCATCTCACCTCCTCCTCTACTGACTGAAACTCTTTGTCATCGGGCGCCAGGTCGATCAGCACTGTGCCTTGACCCGAACAGTGGAACGTCAGGTATGGGTTGGCACCTTGAAATGCAGGACACAGGCACATTAAAATTACACTTTGTTTGGCCGTGAACAGATGCTATTTGAGAGCAGAATGTTCGTAAACTGACCTTGTTGACCGCCCAGCAGCCTCTCAATGCCTTTGATGAGTTTGTGCCTGTGACCATAAGCATTGATCCCGATCTCTTTGAGCTCCTCGTGGCCCATGTCAGCCAGCACATCCAGAGTAATCTAGAACAACAGGTTGAAAACGGTCAGATTAAGCGGATTTTTTTTTTTTATGACAGCATTTTCAAAAAACTTTGGGTACATTTTGGGAATTTACATAACAAGTGTAACATTTTAGTGTTTCACAAAACCACAAAATATTTTATATGCTATAGGTTCAGGCATGTAGACTATGTTTTGAGTACTTGACAATGGACCCTTTTCACATTTCTGGGTTTCTCAGTACCGGAAGTCTTCATCAACTTGGAGTGCAGTGAATGGGAGAGTAACAAGTACATTTTTTACAAATCGCATTAGCCAAAAGAATAATAAAAACAAAAATTCACAATAAATAACATCTGTAAAACTGTTTATATATATTTTGACTTCAATTGTACAAAACTGAACAAAGTCATCCATAATGTCATACATTTAGATCCTTATAAGCAATTTAGATCATCCATAAGCAAACGCATGCATATAGCACTGCATTACCATGTTAAATTCTAATTGTGTTTTCCATGAACCTATTGTATGAAAAACACTAGCCTGAACACATCGAGTACAAATACAAATGTGCAAATGCTGCAGCTTAATACTGACAATTACTATAATTCCATTCCATTATTCCTTTAACACATTCAACACATGTCTACCATAACAACATAATATAATTCTTAAGCATACCTCCTAATCCTGACACAATACCATGGTGCAAATTGGAGTGCAATGGCCTTTTAGCAGGATTGTTCATAACACAGTATTTCTCCTGTTTGTCAGTGTTTTGAGAATGCCAGCGTGGCTTCATCTGGCTTGAAACTAAATCTGAGAAATTTGCGTTGTGTGCTAAATTCAAACACTTCTCTTTAAATCTGGTCACATGATTGGTTTAAGACTTATTCACATTTAAACAAATGTAAACTTGCGCTGTTGTTTGGTTTAAACGACCATCTGTGTGCAGCAAGTAGCGGCATTTAGTTTAGCTTTTTTTGTTTTATTAGGGAAACTATTTTTGTTTTATTAGGGAAAAATAATAGATCACAATAATTGCTATTATCGTTTTATCGCCCAACCCATATCGTATTATAATAGTGAACTACATAGCTATATGTGAGCACATAGAGTTTCTTTTCATAATTACATCACCATCTACTGGCCAGGCATGCAAAATACAGCATTTTAGTCATTTCTGTGAATCCACGTGGGATTATTTATATAATGCTATCATCTCCAAGTCACACCTTTCAAAAAAGCAAAGGAAAATCCCTTCTGTTTTTAGCAAAATGAGGCCAAAGTTGTCTGCAGGCACATCCAATCATAAGACAAAGTTGTAATGTAAAACGACACGAAGTGATTCTTTTCAAAGCCAGTTTCGACTCCGCTGCTTAAAAAAACAGCCAACAGTGCAATTTTTTTTTATTGTCTCAGCTTGTTGAGATGTGGAAATTCCTCCCACTGAGAAGATAAACTCTTAGAGCGACGGGAGGCTTGGATGGATATTATATTGCGTGTGACTCACAGAAAGATGATTGCTGAATGCGCCTCCTACATGCAACAAGCACACAAAAGCAAACAGGCAGATGGTGATACGCGTATGCTAGACTGCGAGGCAGGGAGCCAGTGTGTGTCTTACAGAGAGCATTAATATTTGGTCACACTACAATAATAGTTTCGAAATAATAACGAAATGAATATGTCGTCACATTTTTGCTAGTAAATTCTAACATATATGAACTTTCCCTAAGGAAATGTTTAAGTGAAACTACTAACAATAGAGGTGTAACGAATCACGATTGTTTCATGACCAATCAAAACCCACGATTGGGAACACACATCACTAATCACCACATCAATCATGCAGATTAATACTTTTTTTAAAAAACTTTTTTTAAGATTATCCCTAAATTTGCATTGATAGCATTTAGGCTTTCCTGTAAAATATAATGATGACGGAGTTAGTTGTGGTGGGTTCTGTCATTACTGGTTTAGCCTGCATTAATTCATTCAGTGTAAGTGGCACGATTAATCATTAAAAGATCGGTATCTCAACACCCACGCAACAAATTATAAATGATGAGGATTTGCATATGCTTATTAATCCTTCCAAACGCTGCTTAAAATCTGTGTTTGAAAAACGCAAAAATCTATCTTTAGTGTTTTGAGTTAGTTATGAAGTTACAAAGTCAAATAACACTGGGATAACAGTTTATAGTTTAGATAAAACTACTAATGGTTTATGGTAAACAAAAATCACCGTCATATGCATTTAACGACACTCAAAAATGACAGTTGTAGGCAGCAATTACATTATTTAACCAATAGGTGGCCATCAAAAATATGCCACTGAATAATTCTTTAAAAATGACACATCTAGCAAAAAAACATGAAATTTTATGAGTGAATAACGGAATCATTTATTGAGACTAAAAATAAACATGGGTTGTAATAAATTATAATGTTAGATTTCTACATTTAGTGCTAACAGCAACATGTACTGAATATTTCACAGTTTAGAATTATTCAGCTGATTATTTCTTGATTTTGTTTTGAATAAAATTACAGGTTCTAAGTTCTGGTTGTTAAAACCAAAAGTGTCTTGCAGTACTGTTTTTTACAGAACTAAAAATTACATTTGTCGTCTCCTCTGGTCCAATATGTGACTCAAAAACCATATTGTGATCCGAACCCTGAGATTTTTGATGTTACAACACTATCAGCTAAAAAGTGAATTGTTCAGTTACGTGTGATATATGCATACTTTGGAAGATTTTTGGTTTCAAACTGCAAGTTCTTAAAAACATACTATTATTTGTCATTAAAAGATTGTGAATTTGTAAAAAAAGTGATGTCAACTGTATTGTACATTGTTAATTTTTAGTCCATAGATGTGCCAGTACCTAGCACCCAAAGCAACAATGATGGACTACAGGACCATATGTGATTAGACGTTTATTATTTCTTTACAAAGAGACATCGCCATCTTCTGGCAGGCCTGAATATTACAGCAGATTAGCGTGAACTGGGATTGTTTGCATCTGTACACAAATTTTTTAAAAACACAATACTCTTTTAAAGGCATCATTATTGTGCAAAATATGCTAATTTGTACTATGCTGAAAAAACATGACAAGCTGACGTTAAAAACGTTAAAAAGTTAAATGATTATTATTTTTTATAATTGAGCAAGGGTGCAGTTAGACTGATTAAACAAAAATGAATTCTATCAAACACATTAAAATAAAATAGTCAATTTAAAGTGTGGGACGCGATGGCGGACTAGGTAGTGCTGTCGCCTTACAGTAAAAATGTCACTAGTTCGAGCCTCGGCTGGGTCAGTTGGCATTTCTGTGTGGAGTTTGCATGCTAACCCTGTGTTCACATGGGTTTTCTTCCAGGTGCCCCGGTTTTCCCCACAAGTCCAAAGACATGCAGTACAGGTGAATTGGGTAGGCTAAAAAAAATTGCCCGTAGTGTATGTGTGTAAATGAGTGTATGGGTGTTTCCCAGTGGTGGGTTGCAGCTGGAAGGGCATCCACTGCGTAAAACATATCCTGGATAAGTTGGCGGTTCATTCTGCTGTGGGGACCCAAGATTAATAAAGGGACTAAGGCAAAAAGAAAATGAATGAATGAATTTTAAACTGTATCAATATTTCACAATCTTCCTGCAATTTTTTACAAATAATTGCCGCCTTGAAGACTTCTTTAAAAAAACAACTTACTTCGGTATAAATGAAAGTGAAAGGAACAGAATGTGTAATCGTACAGTCACTGTTGACTCTGCATCAGCCTGTGTAATCTCAAACTCTCACACTCCCAATTCCAAAGGCCCACTTATTGGCAATGCATCACATCTATGATAGGTCTGTCAAAGGCCATTAGCCCAGGAGCTGCCAACTGCTCTCTCTCTTTCTCTCTCTCTCTCTTTTTCAGGAAGCACAGTGCACTTCAATCGATAGGACTCGCAGGGCCGACCATTATGGCCGTGAAGGTGTGATGGCAGCAGCAGGAAAGATTCCATTTATTTCTCCTTTTCTTTTTCTCTCTCTCTGTACTCTTATGAGGGTCTTTTCTATTGGTTTTAAAGCTCAATAGGAACTAAAGCAGATTTACTAAAGAGAAAATCTTTAAAACCAGACTAGTCGATTTGGTTGATTAATTAAGCCCAGCATAAAAGAGGAAAGTTTAACTATTGCTCTAATTCTGTGAGAACAGTGAAATCCATGTCTCCAGTTTAAGGATAATGACTCAGAGGAACAATGCTTCTGCATTCACTTTCAGATCAAATAATGAAATTCAGAATGAAAGCAACCCACCAGTTGAACATTAAAAAGCTCAAGCTTTTAATTTAGCAGAAAAATATTAAGTGCTTAGAATAAATGGACAAATCCAAATTTTTATACAACCTAACTAAACAACTAGGTGTTAAAGATGTAATTAAACTGCTATAAGTGTTGCATTTTCTTTTTATTGTTTTATTTTTATTTATTTTTCTTTTTATTGCAAGAAATCACAGAGAATGAGGTACACGTTGACAAATTTGTGTAGTCAAATCTTCCAAGAAAAAAGCAAAAATTAGCCCATAATAAACACAAATGCTTTATCCTAATAGTAAATGCACAATTCATGAATTCAGTACTGGTGATATTTAAATGTGGCTTCTAAAATATTGATAAAAGCTGCATTATGTGTCAGGGTTAAGGTTATTTTACAATGAATCAAAATTTTCATCGGTAATTTTCAGTAGAAAAATAAAGTGACCTCACGGTTTGTCAATCATATTGACACACTGCCTCTGAAACTTTCATTCGCCATTAAAAAATTAAAACCTGGTTTGACTTTTCCTGTTTTTCGCACCTGAAATAGCGCTTTGAGAGGTGTTTAAACAGTTCAGAGCCATAGTAGAAGCGAAAGGCAAAATACAGAATGTCGTCATTTGAGCTACAGATAACTTTATGACAGATAACTTTGGGCCTGATTAACCACCATAACCCTCCACGATGGACGTCCAGTGTTCTCCAGCCTCGGGCACCTGGTCTGCAGCTCTGCAAAAGAAGTTAGGCCAAAGAAGACGGTTGTGGTTTTTTCCTTAACTTTCGTCAATTAGTAAAGTTTGTTCCTAGCCACTGTCACCATTGGGTTGTTTGGTTTGGGACTTGTGGAGCAGTGCATCGATGGATTTGCTCTTCGGTGTTTGGACATTCAGCAGTGAAATTTAAACCACACTGAACTGAACTGCAACTCTAAAAACTGGTCTGACACATTTTCTAGAATAGAACTTCTATGTTAAGCTGCTTTGACACAATCTACATTGTAAAAGCGCTATAGAAATAAACATGAATTGAATTACCCATCTCTACTAAAAAAATAAAGTGGAAATGCATCAGACATGCACCAGACACCTAAGAGAGACAAATATTCCCATTCGGTCCTCCTGACGGCACCAGCAAAGCGAGGAGACAGCTCTAAACTGCTGGGAGGCTTAAACCAGACGCATCTAATGACGACACTGCTGTGTGTATGAGATCTGTGAGCGCGTCCTCAATCTCATTTGCACTCAGTCTTTCAGCGCGTCTCAAAAAAAAAAGTGTTGCCTCTTCATGCTCCATCTCCCGTGGGCACAGCGAAGCAGAATAAGATGGAGAGCGAGCAGAAGAGTGAGTCACCGCGAGACAGATGAATGCGTCTTACTAAAGCCACAATCACAAGCCATTTCAGCCCCTCACATCAAGCGCTCTTCCCAGCTGGTGGCCGCCAAAGACCATTTCTGTTCATCTATGTGCAAATGAGTGGCGGGTCTGGCGCAGCGTGCCAATCGGGTCCCAAGACTCAAGTCAAAGCTGAGCGGAAGAAAAGCTGGAACAACTCAGCTCCATGTGAAGGAGAGACACTGCTGTAATAATGAAAAAGGAGGCAGAGGTCAGCTCCATCACCTATGATCTCTCGTCTCACCTATAAAGATTGAGAGACTGTGGTGGGATTTTAAAAAATAGAAGGAAAAAAAAAAATCACCTGAATGTGTTCTGGTACTAGGGCTGCACAATATATCATTCGAGCATCGATATCGAAATGTGTGTATCCGCAGTAGTCACATTCCAGGATTAGATCATTTATTAAATATTAAAAAATAAAAGCATTATTAAACGTTATCATTTTGAAATCATTTATGCAATAATAATCATGTTATTTTTATGTTTGATTTCTGTACCTGAATACTGTTAGACTCTCCAGAAAACCATGAAGCACTGTCTATTTCACTTTTGTTGTGCTCTGTTGTATTTATATATGCTTGTAATTTATTATGTTAAGTTTGCACTTATGCAAACACACTGCATAGAAGTAGATTTGATTATCCCAATCTATCTAAATTAATAAAACCTTTCCAAATAGAGCTATTCAATTCATCTGGTTAAATAAGATTTACATTGCAGAAAAAAAAATAATTGTAATGTCAGATTTTTCCAATATGGTGCAACCCTACCTGGTACCTTTTAAAAAAATGAATTTAAAGTAGAGATGAAACAAATTGAACAATCAGAAATCAAAACTGGACAACTGTTGCTCCAAATTCACAATCAGCAAACTAGAAAGCAAATATTGTACAAATATTTACCTCCGTTCATTTCATACTTTCATGATTCCATGATGTTTTCAATATTAAACAATAAGATTGTACAGATGGTATTTTTTATGTTTGGATAGTTTCATTATAATATCCCAAAGATGGGTTGCAGCTGGAAGGCCATCCGCTGCATAAAAACTTGCTGAAAAAGTTGGCGGTTCTATCCGCTGTGGCGACCCCGGATTAATAAAGGGACTAAGCCGACAAGAAAATGAATGAATGAATGAGTTTCATTATAACCGTTTAGGCAGGATGTGTGTTTAAGCGATAGTTCACCCATGAATAGGGGCCATACAGAATCTGCGGTTAATATTTCTGCAAAGAATTTTGTAAAAAACAAAAATCTGCAGATTTATGCTGAATAATTTTGGTAGTTTCATACCTAAAAACTTAATATATGAAATAATTTATAATAACACATTTTTAAACTTTTATTTAATGTTTACAATGCAAATCCAATTAGAACCACTTATTTGGTAAACAAAGCAAGTCTCTCATATATCTACTACAAGAGAGAAAATATTACTTTACAAACTGTATTGTAAATAAATCATAAATAATAATACTACTGAAATTAAGTAGTAATAATTTCAATAATAATACTGAAATTAATTAAAAAACTGAATTAATATAAATTTACATACATTTACACAAGTAAATAAATAGACTCATTGATAGGCTCAAAATCTGAGGAAATTTGCGTATTTCTCTGCGTGCAGATTACGTGTGGGGTTTACCCACCCTCATGTGGCTCCAAACATTTACGACTTTTTCTTCTGTTAAACAAAAAAAAAAGATATTTTGATGAAAGGTAAAAACCTGTAACCAGCGACTTACATGGTAGAAAAAAAGATACTATGGAAGTCAGTGTTTACAGGTTTCCAACATTTAAAAAAAATATCTTCTCTTGTGTTTTTAAATAAAGAAACTCAAAGGTATGAAACAGGTAAAGGGTGAGTAAATAAAATTTCATTTGGGGTTAACCATCTTCTTTATTTCATCTAATGCTAGAGTAAAAATCTATTCTTAATGCATGTGCTTTATTTAATATACTTGCATATGTGTTATTTTTATCTTATCGGGGGATTATAGTTGAATTTAAAACAACCTTAATTGCAGAAGGAGGTAAGAGATTCTATAAGCTTTATTAGGAGAATCCTCTGTTTAGACAAGTTTAGATGGTATTTTCTTTTTAGATTATCTCTGCTTGACGCATATTAAAAGCCAGGGCAGCTGCTTTGTTTCCTCCACTAACCAAAGAAAAGCTTTACGTCTGTTGTGAATTTACAGTTTGTAAAAGTATGATTTAAGATTTTAAGTTGATTTATTTCAGAAAGCTAAAGAGAAATCTTTCAAATGAATTAATAATTAAATGTGTATTTTATTTATTGTTTAATTTTTGTTATTTATTTAACTTTAATAAATAATAAATTTAAACAATCATACAATCTAATATAATTGTAAAAAAGAAACAGAAAATAAATACATTAAAAAATTTGAGACAATGATCAAATTTGGTGCATTAGTCCCCATGAAATCAAATAGACCATTCTTAATTTTTAACCCCTCTTAATTTGTTCACCACACTTTTTGAGTTCAGACATGAAAATGACATACATTAAATATAGTTTGTCAAGATAAATTCAAAAACTATTTTTAAAATAAGAATAAAAATATAAAATTCAGACATCTTTGGAAAGTTTCTTTGTGAATGGGAAAAGACCCAGAGAAGGACCCACAAACAGCCAAGGTATGAATTTGCAACCCATTTTTCAATGAATCAGGTGAATCCAGCATGTCTGTGCAAGAAGATCAACAGCTGGAGATCGCAAATAAAAGTGGCCTTAAGGCTGATTACTTCTGCGTTAAGTGATCGGTGTGACCCACAGCGCCTACCTTGCACATAGTCGTGGATTTATACTTAATGTGGTTTGTGTTCCTCTGCAATAACACTGAAACACTAGCAGGCAGTAGGTTTTTATGTTCCTCTCTGTCGAGTTTCTTCGTGAGTGTTTTGTATTTTTTCTGAACACTACAAGTACTGTAGCTAAAACTTGCTCATTCAGAGGCAGGAACCGTCAGATGTGCAATAACTTTAATCATAATGTAAATTCAGTTAATTTCATGATGTAAGTTCGTTAATTCCAATGGAAGAATGCGGCTTGCATTCGCATTTTGGGAGTGTCGTATGCAATAGGTGTAATAACATCTCAACTTTTCAGAACGCCACAAGAGCACCACATGTCACATGACAAGAACTGACCGATCAGATTCATACTACATGGAATATACACATTCTGGTAGACTAATTACCTCAGACAAACACAGAAAACCCAAACACATCAAAATAGTTGATGGTCATTTAGTAATCTATGAACACCCACCCCCACAAGCCACGGTAAAATTGTCAAGCGTTGACAGGTCTGCAGTGATAAAAAGGTTGGGGACCACAGCTGTACACAATTAAAAATATATATATTGCTTAAGGGGCTAATAATATCGACCTAAAGATTTTTTTTTTTTTTTATTAAAAACTGCTTTTATTCTGGCCAAAATAAAACAAATTAATATTATAAAAATATTATAGGAAATACTGTGAAAATGTCCTTGCTCTCTTAAACATCATTTAGGGAATATTTGAAAAAAATATTTTGACTTCAATTGTATTCTAGATCCAAAATAAAGCCCTGCCCAACATACTGTATTAAATTAAATTTTACTTGCATTAAAATTTGCAATTTGCAATTTACTTGCATTAAAATATGCATAAAATTTTACTTGAATTGGCATCCCAATATAGATAATGTGTCAATTTCCCTGCCATTCAAATGCAATTTCCCAACAGGTTTTTAGCATCTTTGCCGCAGCTAAAGAAGAGCAAGAAAGAAGCTGAGAAGAAATGCTATAGAGGAGCAACAGAGTCCTGAGCTCAGTGTGAAGGAGCAGCATGACTGTATTAATCAAAAGAAGGGGGCGCAGAGGTCAGTCCATCACCCAGGATCTCTCTCTCACACCTATAAAGATTGAGAGACGCTAGTAATCTCTCAGTATCCAGCAGAGGAGGAGTCGGGTAGAAATGATGAAGAGAGAGAGAGTATATTGAAAGGAGATAATTAGGAGGCTGTAGATGTCATTGCATTTACATAACTCTGACGAGAAGGACCTGGAGTTCTGTTCAGGAAACAACGGCGGGACAGCTGGCAATTTAATGTGTGGAGTGGAGCTGATGAGATTGAGATGAGTGAAATTGATTTGATCCGCGGACGTGACCTTACCTGTTCCCGCTCAAAAATATCCCGCAAATGCTCCAAGCCCAAGCTCTTCAGGAACTGGCTGATGTTCATATCCAGAATTGTAACTGGAGAGAAAGAAAAATATAACAATTATAATTAACCTGCATTTAAGTCTAAATCTACTGACAATTTTTTTTCTGAGATTTATAGGATAAAACAGCTGTAACTGTTGTAGTTTTTAATGTGAAATAATCTATTTAGTTAATTTATTTAAATTGTTTTTAGACTTGTCTTTAAAAAGATAAAATAAGATTGAGATAAGATAAGATTTAGATAAGTTTAAGTTCTTATAGATTTAAATAGGTTTTAGTTCTTTTGTTGTGTTTGTGCAATGTTCATTAGTTATATTTCTAAAATTTTTATTGCATTTCAGCTTTTAAAATATATTTCTATATTTGGAATAACATTTATATTATATAATTGTTTATATTTTAAATAAATTATAATTTTTAAAAAAAATCATTTTAATTAATTTTTTTGTATTATTTTGTATGATAATGGTTTTAGATTTATATTTCCATTTTTATTTAAAGTTTTAATTCTTTAATTGTGTTTTTGCAGTGTTCATCAGTTGTATTTATTATATTTTTATTGCATTTTAGCTTTTAACATATATTTCTATATTTGGACCTACATTAATTTAATTAATATCTAAATTAAATTGTCATTTTTATGAGAAATTTTTGATACATAATTTTAAATAACTGAATAATAAATAACTGAATAACTGATTGTAGTTTTAAATTTAATTCAGTTGTATTAAATTAAATGGTGTTTAGATTTTTATTTAAAATTTTTGTTCTTTTGTTGTGTTTTTTCAATGGTCATTAATTTTTTGTTTATTATATTTTGTATTCCGTTTTAGCTTTTAAAATATATTTCCATAATTGAGTTTACATTTATATTCTATAATTTTTATTTATTAAATTGTATTTTTAATAATTATTTTATTATACTTAAAAAATAACAAAATCATTTTAATAATTGTAATTTTAAAAATAATTTAATTTAGTTGTATTTATTTACATGGTTTTTAGTTGTCCTATTTGAATTTTTATTTAAAGTTTAAATTCTTTTGTTGTGTTTTTTGAATGTTCATTAGTTTTATTTGTTATATTTTTATTGTATTTTAGCTTTTAAAATAAATATATCTTTTTGGAATTATATTTATATTGTAGATTTTTTAAAGTATTTTAATTAAATTGTCATTTTTTTGTAAATAGTTTTAAACATATTTAAAATAAAAAAATAATGTTTGTAGTTTTTGTAAACTATTAAAAACCTTCCAAACAATATGCAAATTAAAAAGAGGGGGAAAAACACAATTAAATCAAAATAAATTAAGTTTGTCCTCTGTATTCTTCAATCTAAACTGCACAAAAAATACATAAAACAGATAAAATAAAAACAAAAAAATTTTTATAAAACAAAATTTCTTAGAAATAACTTTATAAACAAACATTGTTGTCATTAATGTTTTCAAATGACACACTATTGCAAAGGGATACCAAATTCTTAATGTTCAAATTCTTCAACTCACTTTCTCCCTCCTTCCTCTCAGTTCCTGTGGCCCCATCAGCAGGGCCTGAGGCTCCAGAAACGGCCAGCTCAGTCAGAGGGCCGGCCAGATTGTCTATGCTGCTGGCGGCAGACAGGCATGAAGGCGTAGATCCCGGTGAGATGACAGAGGCGCTGACCACCGTCGCCTGGGGCTTGAAACAACTAGGCAGCGCTTCAGGGGGCATCGCATCAATCAACAGCGCCCGGATATCATCCGCCTGGAGATCACAGCAAATCAACACCACCTTCTATCAGAAATCCATGATCAGTGTGATCAGTTGCAAATATTATTCATGTTACATAAGCGATTGGTTTAATTAGCTGGTAAGCTGAACACAGCGCTAGAATGGCTTCTAGAAAAGGACAATAAAAGCTGAGAACAGCTGTGTCATTAGCACCTGGCATGAGCGCGGCCACAGGAGCCCAATTACTAAAGGTTACGGCAGATTTACCATTGCTTCACACAAGCACCAACACACGGGACAAGGATTTAAACGCCTCAGCTTATGTGTTTAGAAGATAAATGTCCCAATTTCTCTGGACAGTCTCGGCCACCTGAACCATATGAGACCTTACAACAGGAACAAATAGTCTTGCAGAGCATCAAACTTTTGTATAAGACTGAATAACTTGGAGATTTTGCAGATAGTTTAAACAAACGCTGATGTTTTTATGGACAGTTGAAGTCGAAATTATTAGCCCTAATGTAATTTGTTTTTTTTTTAACATATTTCCCAAATGATGTTTAACAGAGCCTTTTTCACAGTATTTCCTATAATATTTTTTCTTCAGGAGAAAGTCTTATTTGTTTTAATTATGGCAAGAATAAAAGCAGTTTTTAATTTTTTTAAAAATCATTTTAAGCTCAATATTATTAGCTTACTTTTACAGAACAAACCACCATTAAAAAATGACTTGCTTAATTACCCTACCCTGCCTAATAACCCTATTAAGGTATTTAAATTGCACTTTAAGCTGAATACTAGTAGTTTGAAAAATATCTACTAAAATATTATGTGCTATCATCATGGTAAATCAGTTATTAGAAATTAGTTATTAAAACTATTAAGTTTAAAACAGACATTGCGGAAAAATATACAGGGGGCTAATAATTAAGGGGGCAAATAACGCTGACTTCAACTGTACATATTAACTGATGACTAGGGCCAGACGAAATCTGCGGACGTTTTTTGCTATTTCTGCAGAGAATTTTGGTAAAAATCTGCGGATTTCTGCGGAATTATTTTGGGAGTATCCAGCGGAGTGTCATAACTAAAACCATAATATATGAAATAAATAGTAATAAATTACAGAATAAAAACTAAATGAATTCAGATTTACACATTTACTCAAGTAAATAAACAGAATTAATGATGGGCTAAAAATCTGCAGAAATCTGCAAAAATCCGCGGAATTCAGAGTTCAGAGTTCTGCGCGCGCAGATTCCATGTGGGCCTACTGATGACAGGTTTTTGAATTATTAAAAATAATGTACACCTGAGGTGGTGATCCAGCCATAACATGAAGCAGAGTGTTGATTCATTTTTAAAAACTCAATGGACCAGTGTCAATTATTCCACTTATACTAGAGTCATCAGACAAAAGTGACTGGGATTCATTCACTAAACAAGCCTATGATTTTGAGTGAAATGTGCATACGGTCATTTTCAAGATAAATCATGATTCATCAAAAACTTTCGTACGAAAATTTATTGTAAATGTATGAAAACAATTCAAGAAAAGCTTACTCCACATGTATGCAACAATCATGTACCCCCGGGGGCTTATAAGGATGTATAAAGGACCCTACCCTAAAACAAACTAATACAATTTTCTTGAATTGTACACACTGTAAAAAATGTTGGGTTCCACACAGTTGATCTGTGTTGGGACAACATGAAGGAATTAAGTTAACTTAATTGTTTTTAAAAATTTAAGTGGATTGAACATAAACCAATTAACTTGTCCCAAAAAAAATCCACAATAAATGTGTTGTTTCAGCTCATTTTAAATAAGTAGTTTAAACAAACAGCAAGCACTATTCTTTTTTGTAAGTGCAGGGTGGTAATAATAACTTGACATTAAAAACTGATAATACAGTTTAATTAGGGGTCCAAGACAGGTAGGCTCATTTAAGAGACTTTAGCCCCTTTCACACAGTGATACCGGTAAATATCTGGAAAATTTCCGGAAAGACTTTACCGGTATATTGAAAAAAGCGCTGTTCACACAGGCGAGGACTTTACGGAAATTTTCCGGAAAAGAGCATTCACACATCCATTCCAAAATACCGGTAAATTCTGACATCATTCACCACAAATGAGCTTTAAACGGCTGCGCTTGTATTTGTAAACATTTGACTAAATTACAAACTCTGTGGATGATCAATATTGTGAACAACTTTCGCAGGATCACTTTCGCATGTCGAGATGTTCATAATATGTGCGAGAGCAGGCGCTCACAGGCTGTATCACAGGCACACGCAAAGCTTGAAGGTAAACAAACAACGGCTTATCATAAGCATCTCATCGATGATTATTTACACAGTGGCATTAAGAAGAACATATAAACGTGATCTGACTAACTTCTAGCAGCTAAGTGTGTCTGGAAAAATATTCAAAGGCTTTTATCCTCACAAACCGCGCGGACGTAAATGCGTCTGACTGTTGTGATTGGCTAAAGCAGACATCTCACGTCAGCACGTTCTAGACGTGCACGCGCTTATTACGGCAATCTTCCTTCTGCATTCACACAGCGCAGCATTCCGGCAAATTGCCGGTAATGTTACAACTTCTCTTTCCGGAAAATAGCCAGAACGAATTTACCGGTATTTTCAAAAAGGACCTGTTCACACATACAACCTTTCCGGAAAATTGCCGGCAATTTTCCGGAAAGGTCTGTATGTGTGAAAGGGGCTTTTGAATCCACTAACAGAACAATGAGTTTATGAACAAGCTCATGTGCGTTCACACGTCTTGTGAATTAGGTGGAAAGTTTTCATGCAAGTTCTACTGAACATATAAACATGTAAAATGTACACAATTATTACTGAATTAAACCCACTGTTCAATACATTTGTCATCTGTTTTGATTTGTTGTTTGGTATTTGCAGGCTGTAAAATTATTTGAAAAACAAATAATAATAATAAGTTGGTATAGTTTTATAGACATGTAAGGCTGCGTGTCCACTAAAGTGTTTTTGTGCAGCATAAACACGAGTACTGTTCTTAAAATGCTCAGCTGTGAGCGCTTTGCAGTGAAGCACTTTTTTCAGTCAGTTGCTATGAGGCAAAGTATCCCTCCTGTACCGTTACAAGTTAAAAGTCTGATCATATATTTACAGTTACGTAGTATAGTCCGGCCTTGTCTTTCAATGTAATTGTATGGTGCAGCGTTTTTGTGCTTAGTGCAGACCATAAAACGGCCATGCAAAAAATGCGGCACCACCATTGACAACAAATGCTCAGCGTGAAAAAATGCTTGGGTGGACACGCAGCGTAATGAAGTCAAAGATGATGCTTGGAACTACTATAGCTCAGCGTTGATCAAAAAAATATATTTCACAGTTTTGATTGTTCATCAGCCAATCAGAATCTAGCATTCTGCCGCTCTGCTGTGTATGCATTAGTGAAACTGTGTGTGAGGAGTCTGTGCATTACCGTGGCCAAGTCAAGTGGTGTCTGGCCCTCCTGGTTCTTCATGGTGGGGTCAGCCCCGTGGGCCAGCAGCAGAGCACAGAGTTGTGTGCGGCCCTTTTGTGCAGCCTCATGAAGGGGTGTGAAGGCCCATTTATCAGTGGCATTTACACAGGTGTTATACTTGATCAACAGGGCTGCGATATCCACATGCTGAAAGAGAAGACACAGGCTAATTAGGAAAACTCTTGCAATCTTTAAAGGGATGATTCACCTGAAATAACTTCTGCACATCTTGACTTCCATACAACAGAAACAAATTTAAAACAACCCGAGGGAGAGTAAAGGACTATGATGACTAAATGATGATTTATTTTTGCTGCTTCATTGTACAATTTTGTAAATAAAATCTGCAGATTTATGTGGAATGATTTTAAGAATATAGAGGCTGAAATTTCTTTGTTTTATTATTTCCCAATTCCCAATTTTGGTAACTCTATTTTGATTGTCCATTTGAGTATTATTAGACTGTCTGCTTAATATCTGCTGATACTGACAATTCAACAGACATTTAACTGACTATAAGAAACTTTGCAAGTACATGTCAACTTATACTAACCCTAACCACAAACTAACAGTCTACTTATAATCTAATAAGAATTAGTTGGCATTGCAATGTAACTTAAATTCAACAAACGGTCCATCAAAATAAAATGTAACCTCAATTTTTATTGAGGTTAATAAACCTTATTAAGGTTTATTAAGGAAATCCATTAACCACTTTTTTAGTAAAAAAAGCTACATTACCTTTGTCATATAATACACCCACATTAAAGTAAAATTCTATTGTGCATAAATAATAAAAACATTTGCATACTATTGCATAATATTAATAATAAGATGAATTGATTGATAATAATAATATTAATAATTATTATAAAAATGAAATATACACACATTTACACAAGTAAATAAATATATCGATAGACTCTAAAAATCTGCAGAAATCCACATATTTCTGTGGGCGCAGATTCTGAGTAGACTTGATAATGACAAAAAGAATGGTTCTGCTGCATTTCTCAAGTTAAAATCATATTCAAAATAATGTAAAATTACAATTGAAACTGAGATTTCTTTTTTTTTTTCGCTGAAATCTTTTGTACGATTAAAAATATATGTAGAGTTCAGATGCAAAACCCTCTAAATACATCAGACCTCTATTTTTGTAAATGAACATTTTCTATCAGGCCCCTATAATTAGGCTAAGAAGTTTCATTTGATAGATAATGAAAAAGTTATTAACTGTAAAATAAAATATACATTTTTCAAAAAAGTCACTTTAGACAATTCTTTGGTTTTTAACAAGGTAGACTTTTTTGCGTCAAAACCAGCTAAATCCACTTGTGCTTTTTTTTTTTTTTTTTTTTTTTTTTTACAAATACCTCTAAATCCAGCTATTGAGCCAAGACATTATAATTAGTTAAAAAATCAACTAAAGATACAATTAGAAATTATTTGACCAAACATAAAACACATTACACAAACCAACTAAAATTAAAAATACATAAATCTGTCAAGTAAGTGGCGGCTCATTCCACTGTGGTAACCGCTGATAAACCAGAGACTAAGCAGAAGTCAAATGATTTAATGAAATCTGTCAAGTGCGTGTATTAATCAATAAATTATTAAATCTTGACATTAATTAAATCTTAATCTGTTGTCATTTCTGATATTTGGGATTCAGATTTAATGTAAGTAGAGCAATGTAAATTAAGCTTGTTGGATAAAAAAAAAAAATGAAGTGTAAAAACATTGTGAAACATCAATATCTGTGCATTGTCCATTAATAAAAAAAGTAATATAATTTATTGAAGTAATATAAATCATGTATAGTTTAATACATTATATTTATCTTTTAAAACATAGCTCACACAAGTAATTACAACACAAGGTAGGCCTACTGTGCAAAAAAAGAGATGTCTCTCAGACACTTTTAAAAGCTGTCACTCTTTTTTCATCTAATATTTATCCTCATAGCATCCATGCAGGATAAAGGAACAGCATCTTAACTTCATCTTTCAAGAAATGCAGTTGTTGTTTAATGTATGGTATATAGGACTCATTCCAAGTAGTGTTGCTGTGCAAAAAAAAACGTTATGAATGCATGCTACTCTTCTGACTGTACAGTGTTTTCTTTTTCTTATAATGCAGAGTTTTGAGGTAAGGGACGTTTTCATTTGCCATTCACTGACAGTCAGACAGGCTCATGCAGTTCATCAAATTACATATTTGAAAATCAGAATCGAAAGTGGAATAAAACAGTCTCCTCATAAAAGGCGCTGTATCAGCGCACCATAACATTGAAAACATATGATTCGATTCACGCTTTCTGATTGGTTTTCGGGACATATCGGCTTCTGCTGCCAAAGGCAAGTGGCGTTTAGAGGCTTTTGCATACAAACTGTTATTTCTGAATGCGCTGAAGCTGGGATTTAGATGATTTGAAGCAAGAATATTTATTGAATATGTACTACGTGCCTAAAGTATTCTATCAATGTCATTAGCTCATTTTTGGCGAAGGAGGTGTTTAGCGGCTTTGGGACCTGAACTCTTCATATTTTGTTATGGTTGTATTTTGGATGAATAATATAAATTAGTTTTTATTTTAAAATGGCTTAATCAAACAGATTAAATGTTTTGCCATTTGATTCATTCATGCATGCATTCATTCACTTGTAGTTTTATTTATTTATAGTGGTGTTGCAATAGTATTGATGATAATAGTTATATACATCAAAAATGTCACTATAAATATGCAGTATAATGTACTGACGATAACCATATTTAATAAAAAATACACATACAATACAACAATCAAGTTAATTCTCTTATATGTTTAAGATAATATGAATATTTTGACTGATGTTTCACCTTTTGTATAGCTCTTTCATCTTTATTTAAAATTAATTTATATATTTAATTACCTTTATGTACTCACTTAAAACAGTTGGGTTAATAATAACCCAACAGGTCGTTGATGGGTCGTTTTGGCACCAACCTGCTGTTGGGATATTTTAACCCAATCCATTAACCAGTTGTTAAGGTTAACCCAAAAATATGGATTACAAAACTTATTTATTTGTTGGATTATATAGCCAAAAAGTGGCTATATAATAATAAATTATTATTATTATTATTATTATTATTATTATTATCATTATTATTATTATTATTATTGGGTTGATGTCTCCGCTGGGTCTTAAAGGCGAGAATGACGACCAAATGTTTCAAATACGTGTATCACTTGTATTAAAATTTTTTAACCCAATTGGTTGAGTTATTTAAAAATAACCCAATAAAGGTTTAAAATAACCCAACAAAACGCCAAATATTTTTAACTCAACCATTGGGTTAAATAACTAACCCAACGTTTTTTAGAGTGTAACAATAACAACACTAAGGGTGACACAATGAGAATAACCAAGTTGCATCTTTTGCAGTTTTGGCTAGACTATCCCTTTAAATGCCATATGAGAACTGTTCTAACTTCCAATGGAGTTTGCAGGACAAAACAAACTTGATATTTGGCCAACTGTGAGTAGTGATGCGCAGTGTGTGTCTGAGCTGTCCTGAACCGGCCTCCTATCAGCAGCAGTGGTGACTGTATGAAACTGTGATCAGCTGGCGGTGTTTGTCGAACCCTCTCAGTCTCTACACAAACAGGCCGTATATGAACAGAGGGAGGCGCACTCAAGGTCAGCCAGCATCGGCCGGCCGCCAGCTCTCCTCCAGCCAATCAGCAAGGCCCAGGCAACCTGCCACTACACTCCCAGCCAATGAGAATCTCACAACTGCAGTCACAGAGGTCCTGTTTCTTGGATGGCAACAGAGCGTATGGGAGTGCAGTGAAGAGTCTGGCTAGTTCTGATCCAGCATGTTTATGTAACTGCAATCTGCTCCCTTCCATCTGCATGCTCTAATCACATCCCCATAGACCTCCAGAGGGCAGATGCTGATAAATACCTCCAGCCAGCATCACCTGATATGGGTTTTCCCTGAATATGATTTCCAGAAAGAGTAAAATCCCGTATTAGAATTGTTCTGTGCTGAGTGGGATTAAAGGGTCAGTTCACCTTTGAATTATAGCTCTGCTTTTATTTACTTAACCTTAATCAGTGTGTCATTTCAAACCCAGAAAAAAAAATTAAATCATTTTTGGAAGGCAAATGACAATAGTTTAAATTAAAAGTGAGAGATTTCTATCCATCCATTAAACCTACATACATTAAACCTACATACATATACATACACACATAAATACATACACACACACATACAAACATACAGTATATACATACATATATATTTACACACACACACGCACGCACGCACGCACGCACGCACGCACGCACGCACGCACGCACACACACACACACACACACACACACACACACACACACACACACACACAACAGATATATATGTCATCATATATATATGATTTTCAGTTGAACTAAAAGGGGATGCATCATGCTTATTACAAATTACAAATTCATATTATGCTTTAGAACCTATAGAGAAGTACTGCATCCATCTTTTGAATAATCTTCTAAAAATTATTCCGTTTTTGAATACTTTTATGACTTAAGTAAGACTTTCTCTAAATATTTTTTACAATTTCTAATAGAGAGAATTTACTTGTCATCTATCTGGTTAAACAGCCACTTTCATGTAATTTGACAGAAGCGGATGAATTGACATGTTGTAAAACCAGCAGCTTCAATCTCCATTGTAGTGCATGGGGTTGCAGCATCTCATGTCATAATCCAGACATGCAGTTGTGAAAATATAAAGTGATCTTTTTTAAATAAATCATAAGTTGAACAGCTGAAGTATTTAAAACTTGCATGTCAGGGTGTACTCTGACTAGGCATGGTTTACTTGAACAATGCCGAAGCATGGTTGTCCCCCCCTCCCCTCTCCCCCGACGGCCTGCACTTACACTGTATTCTTTACCTTCCGACCCTGAGCACGCTTGCATCATCAATGATGTGACTGTTCAGTTTAGCAGGAAGAGAATCGCTCTTGCTCAGCACAGGGGAGATTTCTTTAGTTATATTGCTTTAATCGTTTAAGAAGCAGTGACACGTAGTCAAATATTTTGTCAAACAGATCCACAACTCTTGACACTCATAAGTTGTCATAAAAATCATTGTGCCACACGTATTAGGAGGTTTGCTGAAGGTATAGCTGATGTGCAGCGAGGGGGTTGCGTCTTAAATAAACTATGTCAGTTTGCGTTCATTGAAAAGTAAGAATGATTAATAAGTCCATATAAACCAGTCTCTTAAAAATGACGTCGCATCTTCAGTTTCGGGCTTAGGTGCACTTTGCACTTACACTACAAGCGTACCATGCCAAAGCCCAACCGAACCACTCTCTGGCACATCTTTTTCAACCGGGCCAGGGCCAGCCAACTGAACAGCGCCTGGGCCCGATTTGGAGCACTCACACTTGTCAAACAAATTGGGAAACGCGACTGGGCAAGGTTCAGATATAGTGTGAGTTAGAGTTGTCACAATACTGGAATTCGATAATAATCAATACTGAAATTTAAAAAATGTCCATTACATGCACACTGGGAAATGGACAATTGGTCTTGAATTCCAGTATCGTGACAACTCTAGTGTGAGTGCACCTTTAAATGGTTACATTTTCAGAGAAAAGCACTCATAAAAGAAGTTCCTCCCTCCTCCATATCCCAAAGTCAGACTCAAAAATTTAATAAATAAATTTTTTTTAAACTACTTACTACCATAAAGTACAATTTTTGGAAACAAAAAAAAGAAGTCTGTGTTAGGCCGAAATCATTTTTGAAGCTTGACGCAATGGTTAAGCATAAGGGTCCAACTCTTTAACATTGTATATGTTACTCTAAATGCATGAAAGAGCATTAAACCACCCTCTTTTAAGTCTTGTCTGCTCACAAATGGTGCTCTCTGCTTCTGGTGTGGAAATGCAACTGAAACCATCTAAAATAATCATGAGCCGCAGCGATGCATTAAAAGTGCAGAAGCCAAGCTTCTGTGGGCAGACCAAACACAGATGTCCAAACACTTTTTGCATACGGCCACACATTGATTTCAACAGTAGCAGAAAATGCTGCATCAAAGCACATATGGGATCAGGTAAAGGTTTGCATTTGTTTAGTCTTGATAAAAAATACATGGATTATTCAGCATCTACATCTGTTTGTTTGTATCTGCAGCACCAGAGCACGGTTTTCAGAGACCTGACACAACACTGGAGGCATGACACGTGTCTCCTTAACAGATGTCTCTATGAATTCGTAATCGCACTGAAATACTCCTCTTTTTAATCAGCAATTGCACTCACCCCGTACGAGGCTGCGTTGTGGAGGGGAATAAGGCCACCTTTGTCCTGTGCGTTAACGTCTGCTCCATGCTCAAGTAAATACTCCGCTACCTCCAGATTGTTATAGCCAGCTGTAGAGGAAAAAAAAGCAGAGAAATGTAAATCCGTCTGCCTATAAACCATCTGTTATCACAGACAAGTCAGCAATCCATGGCACATGCACACGTTTGAAACTTTGAAAACTAAAAGAGCTAAAAACATCTTTTCTGCTGCAGCAAATCACAAATCATGAAGTAACACCAATGTGCAGGTCATTTAATAATCACCATAAATTAAGAAGAAGTAAACAGACGAGCGCTATTGAGAATCATTACAAACCTGAACACCGCAAAATCTAATTTACATGAAGATCAGGATCACATTTACAATGAAAAATGCATCAAATCTGGAACTGAATCCAAACTGGGGTATAAACCACTTCAATCATTTGTAGTCTGTCAGATTTGCTAAACACCACTGCATGTGGAACAAGTATGAGATTTCAATCTTTTTTCAAACAAATAATTAGAAAGTACATTAGGGCTGCACAATGTATCGTAGCAGCATCAAAGTTTGAAGGTGTAACAAATATTAATTGTGTTTAAATATTCATAAAGAATTCAAACGATTTATGCAAAAAAAAAATTTAATCTTGTTTCTAGTCCAAATATCTTTATTTCACCTTAATTTCAAAGCGAAAACAATATTATTTTACTTAACCCATTAGCAGTTAAATTTGCTTGTTTTCATTAAAACTTCTTTTGAAGGGAAAATAATTCTGACTAATTTCTTCTGATGTTAAAAACAAAACAATATTTTTACTCGATCTAAGAATTATTAGATACTTGTGACCAGAAACGAGACAAAGCAAAGTAAGAACTTTGCTGAGAACAATGAAGAAGTAAGAACTCTGCAAAGTAAGAACTGTTAAGACTCCCCAGAAAATCATCAAATAGAGCTATTCAAACCATCTTGTAAAACTCTATTCATATGGCAACATTTAATCACAGTATTCCAATATCAGATTTTCCAATATCGTGCAGCCTTAGTGCATCATAATCTATTAAGTAATTAAAACAGTGGAGATAAAAGGCCAATAATCAGACTTGCTTTTATTGCAGAAACTGGAAGCTAGTGGTAAATTAAAATTTCAGCAAGTTGTGTTGCTATTGCTAACTAAACCCCCAACTAAATCTTTAATTTAAATAAAATTAAAATAAACTAAAATTTTATTAGACAAAAAGGCTATATTTACAAGTAAATTTGAAAAGTTGCTATTAAATTAAACACTTCCAGCAACTTGCAGCTGCTTTTCACCCTGGGCAGTAAGTGGAGTCTCTAGAAGTGGGCTTCCCACCTTGAGATGGCTTATGTCACATTGATTAATGAGGTTTACTGACTGCAAATGAGTTTTCTTGCTTCTGATATAAACATTGTGGAAGGAAAAGATAAAACATAAATGGAATCAATCCATAAAACTTTTAATTACAAATATGAAAAAGAACAAAACCTGTTCTGTCATTTCAGCTATTTACACTGAAAAAAATATTTCTACAGAATTGTTGCAAACAATTTATATGGGTCGAATTTAAAACTTAAATAAAAAAAAATTGTAAATCCAAGGAATCATCTTTAAATCATTTAATTTGGTGTATCCTGCGGCAAATGCGGGTCTGTGTAAGTCTACAGCACGAAGAATACAACCGGCTGCAGGAGCAGAGAGCGGATAACGTAAACTCTACTGATGCTTGTATTGGCTGTCGCTTGGGAAAGCCAGTCTTCATTTGCCTAAAGTTAAAGAATTATCAACTTTGTAGCATCTCTTTGTACTTGTTACTTGTGTACAGTAACTGGAGATCGCTAACTCTACACTGAAATGAATGGGTATGCTGTTTTGTCACTGACAGGGTAAATGGGGCTTAACATAACTAAAGTACTAAAAATGATCAAACCCTTAAATAAAATTTGGCCAATCAAACATACAGTATTCAAAATTATTAAACACAAAATCACTAAAAGGGAAAATAATCTAATGCTAAGCAAAGATTATTTAAAAAATCTTGTAGAACTAAAAACTAATGAAAATGGCAAAGGCACATGACCAAAATAGAAAGAAATAATAAAAAATAATAATTCATGAAAACAAAAAATAGAAAATTAAATCTAATAACTGAAAACTGTAAAAGTACACTGTTCCTATTCATTTTTACGGATTAGTCTTATTTATTATTATTTTGCTCTTAAAAATGTTTTAATTTATAATGTTAAACAAAATAAATAAAGATATATATGCCTCCTCATTTATTTCATTTTTTGTGTTGTGTATGACCTTGCTCAATGAGCATGAGCAAATAGATTGTGGCTTCAGTGTCGCATTTCAATTACTTTTTATTTCACATGATTTTTCAGGGCTCAACACTAAGGATTTACCAAATATTTCTCTAACCACACCAAAAAATAGCAATAATATAAATTCTTAGCCCCAAAAAACTAAGCAAAAGAAAGCAGGTGAAAAACATACTGTGTGCAATATTAAAAGGATGATTACGTAAAAGGTTAAAGTGAAAGCAACCAACTGCTTACAAAAAGGCCTTTAAAAAATATGGAGCTCTTGAAAGCAGCAGAGCTGTGGGTGCATGAGCATTGCTTTTTGTTCAGTCTACTTAAAAGAGAACTAACTGCACCAGCTACTGTCCAGGCATGATTGCTTCACGCAAGGAACTGTTTCTTTTTGAAAATTTTAAACATTCACCCGCATCACATAACCTGAAATCAGCCTTGACACTGAAGCCCTGATCGATGCTTCAGGATAGCCTGTGTGTAACCATGCACGTAATCATCCTCTCATCCGGGATCCACCTGCTTTCTTTTGTTTATGCGAATCCAGTTAATATTGCCATCTCTTATGCTTATCCCTCATTGGCCGATCCTTATTGTTGAACTTTTGAGCTTTTTAACAAAACTACAATTTAAAAAAGATCTTCAACCAGCCAAACTTAGAAATAAATTTATATATAAACAAAAAAAAAAAGAAATGAATGGAAACATAAAAACAATTAAAGCTGACTCAATAAACCAAAAGTTGATTAAATTAATAAATACTTCAACAACAGCAATAATTAAATCCCTATCCCTGCTAAAACTTTCAGCCAGTTTATTAATGCTCCCTGAATTCAGTTTGTTTCTCTTGAGCTGATTTCAGTGGCCTCGGCATCGGTCTACTGGACTCCCATCAACCAGAAAACCTCATCCATTCCAATCTTCCAAACTCAATTCAGCTCAGTTAATTAAAAGCTCTTTAGCCAGCGATACTGAATATGCACGTCTCCTCCTGATCACAATTCCATTTATTACTCAGCGCAAGTTAACTGGAAGTCTGTTTTTCATTTTGTTATGCTCCAGCTGAGCTAAAAGACAATCAATCTGGCATGTCGACCTTTGACACTCAACAAGCCGCCGCTGAACTTTACCCAAACCGACCGGACACTGCTATTTTCAAGCTTAGTCGTCTTCCTCCAGACATACAGCACTGCCTACAGGAGCGTCACTAATTAAAGGCCTCAACGTTACAGGCTCATCGTTAGACCTCTAATAATGCACAAACCCCAGCTTTGAGAAGCTCACTAATGAGAACACGCTCTCCGTCTCATCAAATGCTGCTTCTTCAGGATCTACAAGCACTTTGAGTCTTGTTTCTCCTCTTACACTTCATGAGCGGTGTCATCTTTCTGACTGCACTTGCTCTTCTTTAGTTATACATTTAGTTTTATTCTCATTAACACAGTGATGAACATTAGGATCACGGTGAAGAAAAACGCTGCGCTGTGGATGCAGTGTTAGGATGTTGCTAGGTGTCTGCAGTTTTTCAAACATGAGAGAAAGAGTAGGCTGCATCAGCAAAATATTAATGAGCAAAAACTTGGTGAATTTTTTTGAATGAGACAATTACTGTGCATTATAGAATTTTTTTAATAAATGAAAAGTCTATATTTTTAATAAATTAAAATACTAAACATAATTTCACATAATTTTAATTTTGCAGTAAATATAATATAATATAATATAATATAATATAATATAATATAATATAATATAATATAATATAATATAATGCAGAAAAACTAAATATAATTTAGTTTACACATGAATAAAATACATTCAAATAAAAAAAAATAATAATAATAATAAAATAAAACATTGAATAAAATAACATGGAAAAAAATAATACATTAAATAAAATAACATAGGAAAAATAAATCAAAGTAAAATTAAATTAAATAAAAAATATGAATAAATTAAATAAAAAAAATAAATAAATAAATAAACCATCAGGATTCTCAACCCAGAGATCTGTAATGTCAGTCAGAATCAATGTTTGCCTCTAATGACAGACAGCAGACATGCAGCATGTTTTCTACACTGGGGTCACGTTCATGTCAGCCCACAGGTACTATCAAATGCCTGATCTGGAGTAAAATTATGCGTATGTCTCTCTGCCTGATGGTTAAGGCCTTCACACACCTGCTGCTGGCCTGCTCCAGCAAGATAAGTGGACTGACCAGATCGCTCCGTCCATCTGTTCAGTGACATCAGCTGATCTGTGCTGTCCTGCACGCAGCACGAGTCCTGCTCTGAGTCACTGGCAAGGCTGTGCTGTTGTGCAAATGATGATCCTGAAGCAAGGCTTTGATGCTCTCAATCTGTTTAACACACTCAGCCTACCGGAGAAGGTTTTCTGACTGTACAGACTCACGATTGTTTTCAAGACTACTGTTATTATTTTTTTATTACATGTATTGGCACATTTCAGTGAAATTTAACTGGGGATTTTGCAATGCATTTGAAAGAAGCAATTCTGTTCACCAAGGCTGTTTGTTTGATTAGAAAGACAGAAAAACATTAGCATTAAAATATTTTCAATGTACATTCAAATGCATTCTTTCAATATAAGAAAGCTCACAATAATAGCATTATATGTGTGTGTGTGTGTGTGTGTGTCTGTGTGTAAAAATCATTGAAAAAATTGTTTAAAAAATCTAGCTATAACTGTGCATATTATTATTATAAAATTCAAATGTATATGCAGTTAATGTATGTTACAATCAGTAGTGCATTACAATTTTCAGTTACTCCCCAAAAAAGTAACTAATTGTGTTACTTTGTTACTTTTTATGGAAAGTAATGCATTATAATATTACATTCGAGTTACTCTTGCATTATTTTTCCTTACCTGCCTGAGGTTTGATCTCTTTCCGATCTAAAAAAGCAGGTGTTTTTTCACCTTTTTGTTTATAGAGAAGCTCTGCATTTAACAACCACCTACATAACCTACACCTAATTTTTCCTTTAAAAAATGTAGGACATAATTCCATTTTGAAAACTTTCTGAGCCCAGAGCTATACATGCTGTATATACAGATTCACGAAAGCATGTAAAGTAATGTGTTTGCTACTTTTGAATGTTTTGTGTAATTAGTTAAGTAAATTCACTGTCCATTGAGATAAAGATTGCAATAAGGCCTAAGAGTACTAACGTGAAATCATTTATATTAAGGCAAAAACTGATTTTAAACCTTTAAAATGACTAATAACAAAATGAACAGTTAGACGATAAAAAAAATCCCCAAGTCAAAATAAATCTTTGAGCTTTAGATATTGAATAAATTTCTTCATGTGGCCTTAACAAATGTGTAAATGGCAATCCAAAAGAGAAAACATCTTACTATAATAAACAATGCTTCTACAGTAGACAGTGGCTGCATCTCTTCAACAATAAATTTTTAAAAAAGTTTTTTAGTTGAATTAATTGTTTTACCAGGAGAACGTGAACTGATGTCAATCATTTGTTGTTTAGCTGGAGGTATGGTGCGGGTGTAGTGCTTCGCATTCAATTTTATTTATTTTTTTCCGATGTCATGTTTCTTGCAGCTGTCAATAGTCTTACTTACACATAATCTACACATAATCTTTTCTTAGATAAGTTAAAAAAAACAAGAATCCATTGCAAAAATGTAAGTCTCCAGTCTGTGCCATTGTTTCTGTTTCTGACTGTCTAATGATGACGAGCGAATGAATTGTTTATTTTTAACCGGATCTCCTAAGTGAACCGATAGAACGAGTTGTCATGAAACGGTTTGCATCTTTAGTACTAACATACTGGATACCCCCTCTCACTCGAAATATACCAAAACCCTGAGCTATTCAGTTACTAAAACAGTACACTGACTCATCTGCTATAAAAAAGAGACCTGATGCTGATGATGAATGCAAACCAACTGTCTGTTCAGTCTCAGCACACTCTCTCATTGAGTGTGTGATTCGACCTGACTAAGGTCATTTTTATTCTGCAATATATTTTGTAAAAGCCAATTAAGCAAGGTAAAAAGTAACTTGTTTTACACTATTTTTTAAAGTAACTCAATTAATATAACTTATTTTTAAAAGTAATGCATTACTTTACTCGTTACTTTGGAAAAGTAATATTATTACGTAATGCGCATTACTTATAATGTGCTACCCCCAACACTGGTTTCAATGTTATATTACATTATTATTACTATGTGTGTGTGTGTGTTTGTGCGATTATTTACATTCAGACAACTTTATAGACATGTTAAAAAACATTATGAAGCTGTATATTACTATATATTATTTTGACATGGATTACTATTATTTTTTTCTTATTAGTAGTAGTGTTAATATTCATTTTATTATTGATATTATTATTATTAATAAGACACTTGTCCTCGGCTGCAATATTTTACTAATAAATACTAACATTTTTAAATTTAAAAAAATGCATTTTAACCACTAAACTTAAATAAGTAAGTTACATTTATTTCCCCCCCATAATTCTTGTAAATGTTACAGACTACAAACGCCACCAAATACATTGGTGGCAAACTTTTCATTGCATTTTTTCTCGGTGTCTTTTAAAAGGTCACAAACCAAGCTTTGAAGTGACCCTTCATATACTGAAACATTTTCTCAAACACAAGAACACTCCTGAATAAGATCATGAGGGAAGACTGGCATAAAGAGATTACTCTGAATAGGACTTTATCGAGGACATGAGCCATCCGAGGAACATTGTTGTGCATGTAAATGTAGGTGACGGCACGAACAGTGTGCAAGTCAGATTTATTATTTGGCAAGGCAGCCTTTGAATCCGCTCCAGGAAGCCAAGCTTACACTGTGCTCAGAAAGGGATGAGAGCCAAAATTTAATTCAACATGTCCCCCCTTTTCTTTCCTTTTGGGTTTCCTTTGCCTGCTCTCTAGGGGTGGGATGATATCTCACACACGGCTTCAATGCTTTTGCAGAGACTCAATTCTCCGGATGGTGCTACAGCTTGATTTTTCCGTTTGAAAGAGAGAAGCGGTGAGATGATGATTTTTCATTACCTGCCAGGTGCAGTGGAGTGGAGTTGCGTCCCTGTGTGTCTCTGCAGTTGATGTTCTCCAGGCTGCAGAGCTTCTGGACTCGGGCCAGGCAGCCTTTTTTGGCGGCGTCCAGAAGTGCTGCATCGCCTCTGAGCAAGTCCTGGATATCTGTGTCTCCCTCCTTCACCATATCCAATGGAGTGTTCCCATCCCGATTCTTCTTGGTGGGGTCTGCTCCGTGCTGTAAGAGATAAGCACTTTGAGCTCAGATATACAGAGAAGCACAAAGGCTGACTTGTAAAAAAAGAAAAAGCTTTGTGTAAGATTAGTCCTTTTCACTTTATACTTCTTCAGATGTACTTGATCACCGTTCAGACATTTAATTTACAGAGTGTGTAGTTGAAGTCCTTTTCTTATAAAAATATCTAGTAAAACATTATTTACTGTCATCATGGTAAAAATAAAATAAATCAGTTATTAGAAATTAGTTATTAAAACTATAATGTTTAGAAAGAAATTGGAGGAAAAAATAAACAGGGGGCTAATAATTCTGACTTCAACTGTATGTGTGTGTGTGTGTGTATGTGTGTATGTATATATATATATATATATATATATATATATATATATATATATATATATATATATATATGAGCAATATCACACGAGTAGCAGTGCGATGTGGCTGTATATAGGCACTGGTGGGAGGCGTGCGATGGCACGAGGCCGCAGATATGCGTATCTGTATCTGTAGGCTGTATGTGGGCAGAGTAATACACAAGGGGTGAAAAGGCTGTAGGAGTTCTGATATTGCAGAATATCGCACGGCTATCAGCCAATCAGATTTGAGAACCAGATAGAACTGTTGTGTGTGTGTGTATATATATATATATATATATATATATATATATATATATATATATATATATATATATATAAAGAGAGAGAAAGAGAGAGAGATACTGAAGTAGTAACCACATCGAAAATAAAAGCCTGCATTTACATATGTACTGTAAGCTGTGCACTTTTACTTTGCTTATCCATATAAATATACATGTATATATTTGACAAAAATTTAATATTCATATCTAATACAAATTATACATAAATATGTAAATATTTTAGTTTTGTATTGTTTTATTATATATAACTTCAGTCTGATTCTTTAATATGATTGGCTGATAGCCGTGCAATGTTCTGCAAATAACAGCACTCATCCAGCCTCTTCATCCTTCAACCAGTGTTTATTACTTTGCCCACATACAGTGACAAGCAAAGGACACTCTGCAGTTTGACAAATATTGCAGCTGTTGGACAACATAATGTACTTTTAAGGCTTTTTAGAGAATATATATTTTGACACTATAGTTGTTTAGATTGTAACTATGCAGTTAATTTATAAGGATAGTGCCTAATCTTAAATATTTATAATTTCTGAGAGACAGCGCGTCCGCGGCCATTAGCCTTTCATTGAGCAGACCAAAGACGGTTGACTTTGTTCATCTACAAGTTGGCAACATAGACAAAGAGAAAAACTTGTAATTTCTAACTACAGCTGATCAAATCATTATTGAACAGATAAATGACATTCTAAGTCAATCTCTCTCTCTTTTGTATGTTGCAGTGCTGTATTTATACCATTTAATTGTAGTGTATTGAGTGTGAGATGGGACTCACATATTAAGAATGTATGCATTTTATGTTGTCCACTCTTTGTATAACCCTGAGTTACTTTTTGGTTGGCCATCTGTTTGATTCTAATGAGTCTCCTGTTTTTGTTACTGCAGACTAGTCGAGTAAAAAGAAAAAAGAAGAAATGCCCGCGTGTGTTTAATGTTTTTTTCTTTTTGCAAACAAACAGTAATCTGGTAGAGGTTAATTATTGTGATCTCCCGATTGCATCAGAAAAAATACTAGTAAAATCCCTGTAGACTGATGACATTTCATGCGGTTCAGCCTTATAATCTTAAAATGTGAGCAAAATCACCGGTTTTGGCTTCACTTTAGACATTGCGGTAGAGAACCGTTCAAATACGAGCTCTGAAGTGACGTTGGTGACAAAGCAATGGTTTCTGCTGTTCTGATGTCAGCTGTAGATGTGAATGAAATGATGAGGAAGAAAGTAGTTCCTCATAAAAAAAGGATTTTGAGACTCTCTGTGTTTGATTTTCTTTTTTCTATACACGATTATGTCATCGAACTGTTGTATAAATGCAATATCACACAAGTAGCAGTGCCATTATTTATTAAAATATAATGTACTGTCATCATGGCAAAACAAATTAGTAATTAGAAACAAAGTCTAAAATCTTCTTTTCGTTAAGCATCACTTGGGAAATATTTTTAAAAGAATAGAAAATGTACAGACGGGCTAACATATATGTACATACTTACACATTTTTCTATTGATTTGTTGATTATAGTTTTAGAAAACTCAAATCGACTCAATTTCATCTTTATGCAAACCCCAATGAATTAAATTCATAGTGACTCATAATATTTTAGTGCAGTTTACTGCAATAGATCAATAAATCTGAATCTAAATCAAATTTAAACTAAGGGTGCTTTCACACCTGCCTTATTTACTTCGACTGAATCGCACTAGAGTTCGTTTTCCCTTTTGGTGCGGTTCGTTTGGGCAGGTGAGAATGCAGCAATCGTACTCGAGTGCGCACTAAAAGCGGACCAAATAAGCTTACCGAGACCTGCTTGAAGAGGTGGTCTCGGTATGCTTTCAGACGAACCCTGAATCGGTTCGTTTCTGGTGATTATTATCCGTACTAAAACAGGTCCAACAGCAAAAAGTACTGCGACTTTTGGACTAATCCAGCTGCCGTAGGCCGATGCGCTGTGCATTATGGGATATGGAGGAAAAATATTTGTTGACAGCGCTTTACCAACAGAGAGAGAGAGGGGAAAACATTACCTGATGGATCGTTGTAAATATTTGCGCAAGATGACCATGTTGCAGTTTAGCTAAATTAATTCACGCCTCCTCCTGAAGTGACGAGCGATGCATTAAAACACTGTTTTCCAGCCGCAGCCGTGCTTTATTCTCAAAATGTATAGTTTGTCTACAGCAGGCATACAATCAGTCAGCGCAGTCGTCCCTCCAAAGTAAAAACGACATTTTGTGTCTGCCGGTTTTGTTTACTTGGGGGAGTTCATTGACATTTTCCCGCAGGAGATTTCTAACTAATCAATAAGCAGTTTAGGAAATATGTTCAACAACATCTGGCCAATGAGAGATGTGGATTTTGTCAGATGACTGGATTTTGGTTCATTTCAACTGATTCGGACCAAAGCCAGCTGTGTGGTGTGAAAACGACCCAAAGACAGCTGAAAATGCAACATTGTATCATTTATTTCCCTTGGTCTGAACCAAATGAAGCGAACTACATATGTGAAAGCACCCTTAGACTCTGTTCAATAGAATCATACAAAATCAGGAGATCAATGTCAACAAGGTCACAGCTTCAAAATCACGCAACAATTGTTCCTGCAGATTTATATTCAGCGCATGTGAAATGCAAATGTCTTTTTTGCCGTTTCAACCAAAGACAACCTCAGCAGTTCCACTTCAGGAAACAAAGTGACATGTTTGTTTGAAGGCTAATATGCACAATCCTTTCAGCTCTGAAGCCGAAGCTCTCAGTGACAGTAACCTGAGGTGCGATGAAAGAAGACGACATTAAAACAACAGACGTCTGCTCAAAGCCAATAAACCTGGGGGCCCTGCAGCGTTTCCGACTGCATTTACAAACTTTTACAGAGTGATAAAAAACCATTAACAACTCCAGGCTGTCAGGCGTCTGGAGAAAAGAGGTATCACTTGAATGAACAAGTATATGGAGTGACGGGAAGAGGTCAGTACCTTCAGAAGCAGTTTGCAGATCTCGTATTTGCCCTTGGCCGCAGCCTCGTGCAGCGGGGTGAACTTCCATAGGTCAGCCACGTTGACCGATGCTCCATGTCTGACTAGCAGCTCAGCCACTTCATAATGACCATACGAGCAGGCGTTATGCAGCGGCACCAAACCTCTGGCAGAACACAGGGAAATCAATAGGTATACAGAGATTATAGTTTACCTTCAAGTGCTGAAAACTAATGCTGACAAATTAAAGTCAAACCCGAAGATTATTTAGACACCTACAACATTTATCATATGATCACAGTTTGTTTGCTATAGTCTGGTGAGTAAATTTGACAGGAACTGTCGCATAAGAATTTCATCTTGATAATGTCAGATTGAAAGGTAGAGTATGTAATAGATTCCAATCATTTATTCATTTTCCTTCGACTTAATCCCTTTATTCATTAGGGCTCGCAACAGGGGAATGAACCACCAACTTATCCAGCATATCTTCTAGCTGCAACCCAGTACTGGTGAACACTCATACACTATTAAGATTTCATTCATTCATTCATTTTTTTTGGCTTAATCCCTTTATTAATCAGGGGTCGCCACAGCAGAGTGAACCTCTAACTTATCCAGCATATCTTCCAACTGCAACCCAGTACTGGGAAACAATCAAACACTCTTAGATACCAATCATCCAAAAATTATTTCAAGAACTGTTTGTATGGCAATATTTACACAAAAATTATAATTTGTTGTCCACGCTAAGTCTCAATTACTATGTTTTCATCTAAAGCAAAATTGGAACATCTCATAAAACATTTGTGAACAATGCACCATTTAAAAAAAAAAAAAATCATTACTTACTGATTAAAAAAACACCAAATATCAAAAAGGTAAATAAGTGAGTGATTTAAATGCCATATATAAGGGATTTACAAAGCATAAACGGTAAATAAGCAATTTAATCTCAGCCAGCTTGGTCTGACAATTAGACTGAACCATAATGATATTGATTTCATTTCAATAAATTATGCAGCCACTAACCTTTGTGTAAAGGCAAACTTAAGACTCTGGATTTAAAGGGATAGTTCCCCAAAAATTACAAATATATTTACTCATCCCTCAAGTGGTTTCAAACCTTTATTCATTCAATCAGTTTCCTTCAGCTTAGTCCCTTTATTCATCAGGGGTCGAACCAACAACTTATCCAGCATATGTATTACACAAGCGGATGCCCTTCCAGCTGCAACCCAGTACTGGGAACCATCCATACACACTCATCCGCACACAAACACTAAGGCCAATTTAGTTTATTCAATTCACATATAGCGCATGTCTTTGGACTGTGGAGGAAACCGGAGCAGGAGGCCAACACGGGGAGAACAAGCAGACTCCACTAAGAAATGCCAACTGGCCCAGCCAGGACTTGAATCAGCAACCTTCTTGCTGTGAGGCAACAGTGCTAACCACTGAGCCACTGTGTTGCCTTCAAAACTTTATGAGTTTTCTTTTCATGTTGAACACAAAACTATTTATTTTGAAAAATGTTGGAAATCTGTAACCATTAACTTCCATTAACCATTAAACAGACTACTAACCATTTACCATTAAACAGAGATACAATAGAAGTCAATGGGTAAAGGTTTTTAACATTTTTCTAAATATCTTCTTTTGTGTTCAACAGAGGAAAGAGACTCAAACAGGTTTGTGGCAAGTGAGTAATGAGTAAATGATGCCAGGATTTTCATTTTTGCATGAATTATCACTTGTAATTGGGTGTACTCTAAACTGAACAGCAGGACGTCTCACCCTTTGTCTTTGGCGTGGACGTCGGCGCCATGGTGTAAAAGATATTCAACCACGGCCACACGATTATAACCGGCAGCAAAGTGGAGCGGCGTGGAGTGACGACCCTCCAGATCACGACAGTTCACATTCTGAGGGGAGCAAAGTTGCTGCAGAAGATGAAAAAAGAGAAAATGCAATTAAATGTTATGCAAATTTTCATATTGCAAATGCAAAACTTTCCCTCGGATATAAATACATAGCAGAATTAATTTCATTTGATCTGCTTTTATAGGGTAGCAGGCCAGCGTTAGGGTATGCGTCAATAGAGATTCTGATTAATTGCCTGACAAAAGTGTAATTGGTGCTCTGATCTAATTACTTTACGCATAATGAGGCTTTCAGATAATAAGAATCAGATGGCATCAAAGGCATCCATCCGTACAGACATTTTTATCGTCTGTTTCTAAATCACCATCTTCAGGCTTACATTACCAATCAAAAGTTTGAGGTTAGAAACTTTTAGATTGGAAGGCTTAGAGCAGGGGTGCCCAAACTCTTTCCTGGAGGGCTGGTGTCCTGCAAAATTTAGTTCCAACCCCAATCAGACACACCTGGGCTAGCTAATCAAGCTCTTACTAGGCTTTCTTAAAACAGCCATGCAGGTGTGTTGAGGCAAGTTGAAGCCAAAATCTGCAGGACAGCAACCCTCCAGGACCGAGTTTGGGCACCTCTGACTTAAGAGTCAGCTTAAATGACTGAACTTGGCTTTGTTAAAAAAAAAAAAAAAAAAGATTTGTATTTACATTCAGAACAATGACACAAAAACACTTGATTGATATGTAATAGTTTGCAATATTAAGAATGACATTTTTTATTACAATTGTTCACAAAACAATTGTTCACAAAAAAAATAAATAAATCATTGAAAACACAATTGGCAGGCACATAAAAAAGTCAAGAATAGAACAAAACATACAAAACTAGTCATGAATAGCGCATTAGTATTTATAAACTGGTTATTAATGTCTGTTAATGTAGAGGTAATGCTTAACAATGAGGAATAATAATAAATTAATAATAATTTGGAATAGAATAAAAACAGTTTTTAATCTTTTAAAAAACATTAAGGTCAAAATGAATAGTCCTTTTAAGCTTTCAGTTATATTTGAGAAAATCTATGTGAATTTATATTTACACATAAGATGTATATATATGCATATGATACAAATTATATATAAATTTAAATATCTATGTAACATAAAAGTTTTGTAGAGTTTTGTTGTTATGCATGTATGTATCACATAAACATAGTAACACAATTTTTAAAGCATTTAAACGTGATTTATGTTTGCCCAACACTAATATTTTTGTATATTATTACATTAATGTAGAATTAAATATATTATTTATTATTTTTATCATTTATTCCCGAGAAGGTAAAGCTGCATTTTCAGTATTTTCAGCCTTAAAGCTGTGTATCCACCAGACGGTTTTTGCACTGCCTAAATGCAAACGCTGGTAAAAAAAAATAAATAAATAAATAAAAAAACTGGGGAAAAAAAAAAAAAAAAACTGTTAACGTTTCTTGCCCTTACAGTTGTTGTGGTGGTGGAGACAGTTGTGCGGTATAGTCCCGCCCCTCCTCCACTATGATTTGATGGCTAACTCAAAAGGGACACTGATAAACGCTGCATTTTCAACATGCAATGGCTGAAAATAACAGCAAACACTCATCGCTGACTGTAAAATGCCCGATCAGTGCCACGCTACACTGCAAGCACTCAAAAAACGTGGCGCTACCATTGAAAAAAACAGAATCCAAACATTCAGCTCAAGGAAAAGAAAAAAAAAACAACGCTCCGATGGACTCGCAGTCTAAACGTAACAAAATTTTTCAGAAATAATTATAATATGCTAACTGGGTGCCTAAAAATTATTTGTATCAATCCTAAAAATAACTGCAGCTAAATATTTTTGTAAAATATTATTTGTCAAAGAAAAGGTTCAAAGATCAGCTGTATGGCAAAAACACCTCCAAACATAGATTGAAGTGTATGTAAAAGGATATCTTTGAGTGTATGCTGGCTCAGCGATTCTTTTGAGCACACACACATACACACAAAACAGTCGAAGGTTATCTTACATCTGCCCTGTTCAAGGTCATGCATTAGAAACAAAACACATTAAAGCTGCATCCCTGAAAAGTTACATTGGCATAAAGAATCTAAACCCATTCAGTTTTGGGTGTTTTTTTTTTTTTTTTTTTTTTTTTTGTTCAGACAAAAGCCTAAATAGAAGTTCAATATCCATAACTGCAGATATATTTTATTCCCCATGTAACCTGGTGGATATTTGTAATAACCATTACAACAGTTTTTATTAACATAGCGCTACAAAAAGACATCTACTTTAAACAAGTTATCTATTTATTTAAGTCATCGATATATTATAATTATTTATTTAATTTTATATAATGTTATTATTGCAAAAAAGAAAAGAAAAAATAAGGACAATTTCTCTTTCTAGAGAATTACTTTCTCACCTCCAAACCCCTATTTAATCCTTAACTGCTGGACAACAAATGAACCATCTTAATATTAAACCCAAATAAAAGCATCTCTCACCTTCACAGTGTCCAAGTCTCCAGCTTTTGCTGCCTCTAAGAGTCTATAATCCACATCTGAGTTCCTTACTGGAATGTTTTCTAACAGACATGAGCATACATTACTGTGCATTTCCATAACTGTTCACGTATAACATCTAAGCCCATATAAACAAACCCAAACCCCAGATTCAATCCCTACCGTTTAAGATCTGCTGTACAGCTTCATTGCCCATCTGGGCGGCTGTGAAGCCCTGCAGAGAGACGATGGCAGGATCGGCTCCATAACTCAACAGCAATCTGCATGTCTGTAAGTGTCCTGCCAGAGCCGCCCGGTGCAAAGCCGTCTGACCCAGTGTGTCAACAGCATTCATCTACAAACAAACAAACAAACAAAAGAGATGGAGAAGGAAGTAAGCAGTCTGAAAGTGCACATCTGAACGCAGAACACAGAGTGAGACGGCGCTGTAAGCAAACCAGACCTCTTTTGAAATGAACACAAATATGAATTAATCAGACGAGCCCCTGGGAAACGTCTACGCTCCTTCAAAGACTATCAACACCGCACAGTGAGAGAGAAAAAAAAAGGGAGCTACTGTGTGCGGTTTAGAGTATGGCATGATTGCAGTTCATTATTCCGTCTGAAACTTGTGACTTTCAAACTCTCAGCAAAAATACGCTTTATTGAGAATGTGAATTGCATATAATGTGAACCCTTTATATCAAGAGGTGTTTTTTTGCATATGCTTAATTTAAAGCTGCTAATTAATTTAAAGTGACTGATCAAAATAATGCTGCCTAAACAATGCAAGCCTAACCTCCTTTGACCCAACTTGGGGCATAGTTATAATCAGTTGTAATTACTGTGTAAATGCATTCATGGCACCTCTGAGCCAATTGGCAAAAGTGAAGAATTAAAAAAGGGATAGTTCACCCAAAATCTGAAATTCTGGCTTCATTTACTCACCCTTGTTCAAAACAAATGAGTTTCTTACTTTTCTTGAACATTTAAAAAAAAAAAATATCTCAAAGGTCCACATGAGGAAAAGAAAGGGATGAGATCATTTTCATTTTTGGGTGAACTATCCCTTTAAGATGTGTTTTGATTATTAGTTTGGGTCAGATACATACTATGTGCATTTTTTTTACTACATCTTGAGGTTCACATGACCTTTATATCTGCTGTTTTGGTGTTGGTTTCTGTTCCTAATTTCAGCAAAAAAATCTACATAAAATGTTGTTTATTCCAATTTGGTTTAAAAATATTACAACACTATAGTACAGTGCTTCACAGAGGTTTAAAATATACTGGCGGTGGTAGCTGGATTGAAACACATCCTTTTCCATGGTGATAAAATGTGATTTTTAATAATACTTTTGTTTATTATGACACTGTTATACACCGCTTTTTTTCAATGGGTTAAAGTTTCTAAAAAAGGCTCTTGAAAAAAAAAAATGTTATTTACGCTACTCTCTGCAATCTCAGTCTTCCTCTCTCTCAAGTTCAGGTTGCTTCATTGGCATGACATTTAGAAAAGTACTGCAATAGCATTTTAGATGTGTATAACATTTGTATTATATTAACATCAAACTATTAACAAACACCAAATGAGAAATAAATTATAGAAAAAATTTATAAAAACAGCCAACATCTATAAAATGGATAATATTTGTTAATAATTCATTAATAATTATAATAAAAAAGTGTTAATTATTTAAATAGGGCAAATGAGTTGATTGATCATCTATATAGTGTACATATATTTGGTAGACAGTTTAGATGTTATTTCATTCTCTCCGAGTATTTTTTTAAAATCGTTTAGGTTAGAGAATCTATTATTTACTTTTTCTCTGTCTCGCGGCTATGCGTGCTGTTAGCTGTGAAGCCAAGCGGAAAGTAGTCTTTAATAAAATAGTAATGAAAAAAATGCAACAACTTTAGAAAGCGAAAGCAAAAGTCGACTCCCTGACATTTTAGGAGATTTAGAAATACCAGCCGGAGTTGCCAGACGCATTTTTAAACCTCAAAAAGGCCCATCTCTGTGTGTCTCACGTGAGCACGTGAGACTGTATGAGGAAGTGTATACACAATGAGCAGTACAGAATGTGTAGGGCGAGAGGAGATTTTCCACTGGTTAATCGAACACATATGTTTGTTGACGTATATTAAAAAAAGTGTAAAGGATTAAAATGTTGGTTTAAAAAAACTGTCATCAAATATACTTGGGCAACCATTAATATACCTGGGCGGCCCACCCAAGTAAAGTCTATGTGTGGAAAGCACTGATAGCCAATATTAAATATCCCTACTGGAAATGATAAAACATCAAGTTTAATATGACTCCCTAAAATGCAAAAATTGATATAAAAATCTAATTTTTTAAATATAAAGATTTCTGAATGTAAAGTGTAAGATAACTCGAGACATCTAAACCCTTAATGTTTACATATATGTGATAACACTTTACAATAATGGTCCTTTAGTTAATGTATTTACTAACATTAACGAAGTATGAATAATCTTCTAACGCATTTCTTAATCATAGTTCTACATTAACTAATGCTTTATTAAAATCCAAATTTGTTAATGCACAAAGTAAACATGAACTAACCAAATTAAATCTAAATAACATTAACTAACGTTAACAAAGATAAATAAATCTTGGAATAAATGTATTACTAATAGTTTGTCCATGTTAGTAAATACATGAATTAACATTAACTAATGGACCATTATTTTAAATTGGAGTTTTTTTTTATTATACTACAATCATTTCAACCATTTAATACAGTACATCAAAAAACCTCTCCCTGCCCGTTCGATTAAAACCCCCAATTTCAATCTAGCTCTTCGGCTAATAAGCAGCTCTCACCGTCAGCTGATTTTCACAGTAACTGTGTTTACTTTAGACAGCTTTATTCTTCATGCTTCTTGCTCTTCTTATTAACACAATGCTTCTGCACCATCTGTTTACTGATTCGCACATGGTCTGTAAACACACACACACAAGCTACAATAGCCACTTGTCTTTGAACCTCAAGCCTGACTAATTATCTAGTCCATTAATGTCATTTAAGTCTGGCCGCTGAAGTTTGGCAGCGATCTGGGTCACAACACCAGTTAACCATCGGATGCGTTTCTTAAGGGTCGTACTGAAACAGATGGACGCTGGTGATTGAATAATGCCATTTATGTAATGGCAGGTCAAGCCTCCATTTATTTATCATTCAGGAGTGCTGCAGGGCTCCGTATTGAGAGCAAGTTGGTCATTTAAATCAATTCTTAATTAAACCGTGCCAATTTTAATTACAATTTAATATGATTCAATACAGAATCAATTCAATATAGATATGATTACATTTTGCAGACATTAAATACATATTTAAACAAATGCTGGTAACTGAAAACTTCCTACTGTAGACCATTTCAATGTGATCATGTCATTGGCCCATGAACATTTCCTGCTTGTTATCAAACTATTTCATAACTGTGATGAGGCAATTTAATCATAACTTCTTGCTAATACAGCTATCACTTTTTGGGTTCTCAGAAGATTTAAAAATTAATAATGTATAACAGGAAATACGTTGGGACTGTTGTTTTTGTTTGCATCCCTCGAAATGGTCTATTAAGGCTACATCAATCAAATACATTACCAATAAGGACTATATAATTATTTTTAATTAGTATGGCAAACCACAGTGGTTTTGTGGACTTATTTTTTAAAATACTATCACATATTTCATTTTGTTTTGATTTGTTTTGATTTAAGCAGTGGAAGAGTAACTCCAAAGATTGCAACATCCTCAGGATGAAAGAAGTACAGTTAATACTCACAGTTGAAGTCAAAATGACTTCAGTAATTTTTGCACTGTATTTCCTTTAATATTTTTTCTTTTGGAGAAAGCCGCATTTGCTTTATTTTGGCTAGAATAAAAGCAATTTAAAAAAACAAACATTTTAAGGTCAATATTATTAGCTCCCTTGGGCAATATCTTTACTTTGATTGTCTACAGCATAATTACCCTGACTTTAACCAAATTAACCTAGTTAAGCCTTTAAATGTTATTTTCAGCTGAATACTAGTATCTTGAAAACATATCTAGTAAATTATTATGAGGGTTCATATTCTTTCATGGACACCAAATTCAAGGACTTTTTAGGTCACTAATATTTTAAATCAAGCACCTTTGTAATTCACTGTCCCAGCATATATACAGTAACATTAAGAAAGTCCTTCCTTTACTTATACTTAATTTTTACATTAAAATGTCATGATGATTTTTTAAAGTGATTTTTTTTTAAATGTTGACCTTTTTTAACAACAGGTTAAAGTGATGTTCAAAGAACTTTATTACAATTAATTGACTTCAATCCTGGCAATATTCAAATGCAGTTTCTGAAGTATTGATAAAATGCAATATTTGTCATAGTTCATGTATAAGATTCAAATTTAAGATTTTTAAGTTAAGATTTTCTTAGATTTGTCTTAGATAGTTTTTGAAAGTGGCACAGTGCAATTGTTGAAATAACACCGACTTTAAATTCAAGCACTGTCAAGGATCTGTGTTTGTTTTTAAATACTTTGCAGGCTTTGAATTAATATGTGCGAATATCAAGCACTTTCATGTACTTTCAAAAGTGTGGGAACCCTGTATTATGTACTGCCATTGTGTCAAAGATAAAATAAATCAGTTATTAGTAATTAGTTATTAAAACTATTACGTTTAAAAATGTGTTTAAGAAAATCTTTCCGTTAAACAGTAATTAGGAAAAAATATACAGGGGCCTAATAATTCTGACGTCAACTGAACAACCTAAAGCACATTAAGAATCAATTCTGGGGGTTCCTGAATCGATACGCGTTAATTTAATTAAAAATCGATTAAATCGCTTTTAAAACATATTTTACTCAGCCCCAGACAGTTGGTATATACAAACATATGTGAAGCTTTGAAAGCCAAGCATAAAAGAGCCACAAAGCATCAATCAAGCAGAGCTTTGGATGATACAACTTTGCGTGGAAGTAGGACATGCAAGTTTGATGAACGGGAAGGCCCTTTAGAAACCCTCCGGGCTCGAACAAAGACGGCAGACAGTGGATGAGATTATTTACAGGAGTATCGGCTCTCCTGGTCTCTCGACTGAAGAATAGCTGATCAGCCCTGATGCTCTCAGCCAAGGCAGAAGCTGAATGCCTGATCAGTTAGTCGATGCTTATCTGATTTGGCTCTCTGAAAGAGCGCCATTGATTTGGTAGTCTTTTACCCCTCTCTGCTCTGGAGAGGTAATGACATGACTGATGTAGCTCGTAAACATCCCCCAGTTTCTCTCAAAGCAAGTCCAGCGGTGAGTCTGAAGCTGCAGGTTGTT